ATTATACATGTCTCCACAAACATATAGAATATTAGTTATTTAAGGAAGATATATTATTTAGAATATTAAATATACCGGGAAAATAATTATATGTGTGTGGGCGGGTACCCATGGGGCGGATTTACCTAAACCCAAACCCAACCCGACCCGGTGAATAGTGTAGCGGGTTTAAACCCGAACTCGGCCCAAAACCCGTCAACACGGGTTTTACCCGCGTTGACCGGGTTAGATCGAGTGGGTACCTGTGGGTTCGGGTTTTGTTGCCATCCCTATTTGTAACCATGTCTATGACTAGCAAAATGTTATGCGGGATTGAACGAAAAGAAGGGATATAGACCATTGCACTCGCAAAGAGCATTCACATCTCCAAATATGTCTCTTAGTTTAGTCAAAAAAGAAGGGATGGAAAGCTTGATTCTTTCCTAGAATCAAATTGCGCATGAATTTTAATATATATTCCAAATCCCAAATGTTGATTTGACTATCACCGGAAGGTATGGGATCTTGCTGCCCAGTCAGCGAGTGGAATCCAGGTATAACGCCCCCGATCCATGGTGTATGGGCTCAATAGTGTTTGAGTTTATGATCTGGGTCTGGTTTGTAACTGTTTTTCTTTACCATATTTGATTGGGATTAGACCACATGTATCTTAATCTTAAAAAATCTTAAAGCAGTTTTAGAATCCCACCCCCTCCACGTAATCCTCCTTCAAACGACAAGGTCCACGTCAGACATTTAAAAGGCCTCTCTTCCGCCGAATAAACATGCCTCTCCTCCTCCCCTTTCCCCTTCGACAATTTTATAACGGTGTCTCTCTCTTACCCACCTTGAGTTACTCGCCGTATTTCCACTCTTCTTCCCCAAACGCCATGAACCCAGTTTCCATTCCGTAGGCCCTAGGACGATGCCAAAGATTCTTCCCTTTTCCTCCGTCAATTGGTATATGTCAGTGCGGCCAAATTCCATTTTCCGCCATGGATCCAGTTTGTCCTTCTTCATTCCTCCGCGCCCACCGTTTGAAAGAGCCCAGATTCCTCCGCAGGCGGCCGTCTTCCGAACACCGCCATCGTTTCAATCGGTCCCCTGTGAACTTCTTTGTATTCCCGCAGGTAATTTCATCTTGGTTATATAGTATCATTTTCTGAAACCTCTTTCATTTTTATCTCTCGGGCCTCAAATCCTCATGTTGTGTACTACCTTTCTAATCAATACCCACGTACGTACCAACGATCTTCCTTTCTTCTGCGGTTGATCGGGAAGGGAACAACTGATCGAGGCGGTCTTCCTCTATTCTTTCGTTGCTCGGGAAAGGAAATGATGCGGCCTAACTGTCGGCGATAGCATCCTGATCGAGAAGTCAATAGACTCCTCGGTAAGCCCTCAACATCTTCATAATGATTCTTGAATCCCTATTCTTAGGGGTTTGCTCAACCTTTGTCCTGCAAAAATTTCTTTATGATTGACATTCGTTGGTTCATTCTCTACTTCCTCTCTTTTGACACAGAAAAATTGTCGTCGATTGAACGACGACGGATTGACAAGCCTAGAGTCTCTTGGGTAAGGCCTCAACATCGTCATATATATATTGTGATTCTTGAAGTCCCATGCATTCTTACGAGTTCGTTCAGTGTCGTATGTCCTGCAAATTTCCTTCCTAATTGACATTCTTTGGATCATTCTTTGCTTCCATTATGAACAAGTTGCATACTTTGTTATTAAGCACAGTTAGATGATTCTCAACCCGGTTTTGTGTTGAAATGGGTTGATTAGAAATTAAGGCCTCTGTTTGAATTGAATTGTTGTTTCTTTGTTTGCCTCTTCATCGACATTATTTTTCCGGGTTAAAGACATATTTGGTCACTGAGATTACAAAATCGGGACATGTTTAGTCACTAGAAAAAGTTAATATCAAATTTGGTCACTACAATTACTAAAATTGGACACATTTAGTCACTCGCCGTTAGTTTCCGTCCAACTCCGTTAAAAGAGTCCGTTATGTGCTGACGTGGCTAACGTGAGCGCCTAGTCAGCGCCATTTTGGGCAGGAAATGGTCAAACCCGACCCGCCACGTCACTAAACCAGCCACGTATTAAACCCAACCCAATCCATTAACCCAACCCGACGTAGAAATAAACCCTAACCCACCTATCTGGGTCTCATCACTGTCTACCCGCCGGAAGAAACTGCTTTCTTCTCAACCGGAGCTTTCATTCCTGACCCTAAACTCCCTTTTCTCGATCTCTCATGTCTCTGCTTTCCTGCCACCGCAACTCTCAGTTTCCAATTCGGCAATTCCCGTCCCACATTCATTTTTGGTTTTAAATTTCTCATCTGGGGTTTGTTTTTACAGGCCAAAGATTTCAAATTGGAACTGTCCACGGCCACCGTCCTCCAACTTCGTGTGCCTCACTGCCCTCCGCCTCTACGGCAAGGGGTAGCGTTAATGGCTCCATCTCTCCCTGCTCTCTGCTCTAGGATTAGTTTGATCAAAAATGGCGAAGGGGAAGAGCTCTCGAGGAATGAGAAGGGTTTTTGGGTCTAAAATTGAAACAAATCAGTTTTGTTTTTTTTAAGTGGGATCTGGTATGGTTAGGTGGGTTAGGGTTTATTTCTAGGTCGGGTTGGGTTAATGGATTGGGTTGGGTTTAATACGTGGCTGGTTTAGTGACGTGGCGGGTCGGGTTTGACCATTTCCGGCCCAAAACGGCGCTGACTAGGCGCTCACGTTAGCCACGTCAGCACATAACGGACTCTTTTAACGGAGTTGGACGGCAACTAACGGCGAGTGACTAAATGTGTCCAATTTTAGTAATTGTAGTGACCAAATTTGATATTAACTTTTTCTAGTGACTAAACATGTCCCGATTTTTTAATCTCAGTGACCAAATGTGTCTTTAACCCTTATTTTTCCTTCTCTTTTCTTGCCCGCATACTAACATGGGATCAAGTATGGTTATTTGATTAAATCGATTCAGCATATATATGGTGTAATTCCCCAAATCTCGCTTCACTGTTTTGTAGTTCCTGATGTAGTTGTAGCATCTGATCTTAGTTTACCAATTAACCGTGTCGCAATGAAGAGTTATGTCTCAAAACATAACTAATGTAGTGATAAAAAGAAAAAGAAAAAAAAAACTACAATCAAACCAAATTGAACCCACACTTGCATAACATTAACGACTATTATACCTGCTAAGGAAGGTCCCGATAACCTTATGCCCAGTACTGTACGTAGCTATTTCTGCATCGACATCCCTTATTGTTGGTAATCAAGATTTAGTCCCTCGATCCAGCGTCATTTTAGTTTTGGTTCTTTTTAATTTGATAGATTGTATTGCTTTAGCAACTCTGCCTTAGTAATATCTATCACTGTAACCATGCTCACCTTTGCCTGGACTGTAATTCATTTGCAGTTGGTGTACTATTTTCCAGGTTTTGTATTTTCAACAAGTCTTGGCCATTACCCTACCAGAGCCAGCAAACCCCAATAGAACTTCCTCGATCTCCTATATAATATTTAAGAGCAACTGGAAGTAACAAAAACAGATCATGAAAACCAATTACATGACACACACTGCGCGCTGCAATCAAACTCATTTGCATAAGCTCCAGTTCCAAAATTAGTTACGTACCTGTTGCTTTGACTGCAGGGGGAAAATTACCAAGTCATGACGACAAAGGTTGGAGATGTGAGGGAAGTTTGGTGTTACTTAAGCTGCACTTGGCGCAAGAAAATACCGCCTGGAGAATTGAAGTTTTGATGCCCGAAATGCATCCTCAACACACTCAGGGTCAGTGGTATTCCAAGGAAACTTCACTAACTCACAGAAATAATTATGAAACCCTTTTGCAACAATAAATAACAATTACAAAAGCTATAACCAAGAAACAAAACTGCAGGTACAGAGTCCCTTTATTCATGGAGGACAATATAGGTACAACCTATGGCCGGGTGTTAAGAATTAAGATGTTGCTAATAAAATAATTTTGCAGGAGGGTGAAGAACAAAGAAATGCCACCAACAAGGTAATTCCTCAGCATCAATCTGGACAAAGCAATCCATCCGCCAATCCACCCATTGTTTTCAAGGCAGAAAAACAAGAACGAGGATTGGAACAAGTAACTGAAGGCAACAAAGATAAACATGGCTAAACGTCTTCTCAGCTAACAGGGATAAATGCACCCATATATTTCAACTTTAGTAGCATGTTACCAATCGACAGATGCATTATATCCAAGAAACTACCTCAGTAATAGTACAAAACTTTAGCAACATCGACTTCTACTCAAAACTTCTAACACTATTATTGAATATAGTATGCAAATTAGAAAATCAATCCAAAACAAACACATCTTAATTCTTACACTATTATTGAATTTATTAGGGATATTTTTGTCATTTGTGTTGCCCAAACTAAAGTTCGGCCTTTGTTAACGGTTTTTAGATGAAAATTTTAACAAAAGGGCATGTTTGACATTTTTACAAAGTATAGGGGCATATTTGATGTAAAAAATAGTAGAGGCATGTTTGATAAAGCATCATAATAAATGGGCATATTATACCTATAACCCTTTTTAACAATGTTTAAGAAATTCTAGAATGTCGGTTGGATCGAAAATACTGGATATTGGATCCAAATTGGTAGGTAATTTTAACGGTAGGAAACGGCTGAGCTATAACTCAACACGATTTCAGAACAAAATACTTTACCCCAAACTTTTTCAATATAACCTTTCATGCATTCCGTTTTACTCTTAACAAAAGCTCTTTATTATCATTTTGAAAGCTATGCCAACTATCTTAATGTGAGAAAATATGTATATAGTGATATGACTATGCAAAATATTGCAATATAATCTTCCAAATACAACATATATCCAATAGAATTGAAATTTTAAAAATTGATGAGATTATTTTGATGTTCACTCATAAAGCGATTAGATTATAAGCACAAGCTAAACTTATAAATTTTACGAATGTTGGAAAACAGTAATACCTTTACAAAATTTTGAATACTGAAATTACAAAAATTATAGAATGACACATTAAAATATTCAAAATACTGAAATAAAATTGATTAATGTTGATAAAAAGATGGAACTCGCCCGCACAACGTGCGGGTTCAATGCTAGTAAGTACTATAAATGCTTTTCATACTCCTTGATAATCTGTATATCCACGAAGTAAAATGAAACTGTCACTCTCCTTCTTGTGGACTAGCTAACACACATCGTATCAATGAACCATGTATATCCATGTGGACGTGTTTGTTCTTGCTTTCATTTTTCTTGCCTTATTAACCTCCTATTTTTCAACTCGCAGAGAAACAATCTTGACACCAAAATATCTACAATCCGACCGACGACCCATCCTCCTACTATGGGTGCATGAAAGACAAGTACTCCACAGGCAGTGTAGGCCAGCTGACCTTCATTCTTGGGACTACAGCATATATGCCATTATTCACTCGAAAGTTGTTCCTTCCAAAAGTAATTGGAGAAAGAAAAAAAAAAACTGGCTTTGTCAATACGTCTATCTTGGTCGTGTTGCTCAATCCTCCCGTGAGATGTGGGGCTACCAAAAAAAAAAAAAAAAAGGCTAGCTAGCTAGCTTGAAAAGGATGAATTCCTTCACCTAGTCCACTCAACTGAATATCTTCTCATTTGTAACAAAGAAGCTAAGATCTTTTTATCACCACTTGGGTCGATGCCCTCTTCATCACAGCTCCCAGTTGACACTTTTTGTTTAGCTGGCATTTTGTCTTCGCTAGAATTTGTCATTTATTTCCACCCATGTGCTGTAACTGGACCACAAGATTAAAACCAGACCAGAACAAACTTTTTCACAATTATCATTTCTCAATCATCTCTCTTCCCAGTCCCAATCCCACCTCCCCCCCCAGCTTCACTCATTGATGATCTCAGTTTATCTCTAGTTGTTTTTGCAGTGATTAAGTTATCGATCGGGCATGGCCAAAATGGTAAAAGATGATCGGAGGTAATCGGATTTGATGTCGTTTGTGGAGAATGTCAGTACTCGGGATGAGTGGTGCGAGTTTAGGCTAATCACAAGTAAACATTGTCGAGCATATGGACAATGGGAGTCGGACCTTTATCTTAGTTTTTATGAAGAAATCCTTGTCATGAAAAGATCTAGTCGCTAAGTTTCCTTGCTACATTATCCCTATCTAATAATGGATACATGCTCCTTGGAGATTAACATTGATAATGTATAGTATGAGAGTGTATCTATGTGGCAAACCACTTATAACATCATGACCGCCACTCTGATGTAGCAAAGCTATAACGAGATGTTCATGTTTTACTAGCTAGGATTCGAGTTTTAACGCAGAAGGGGGCACGTGCACCCGTTTCACATTCAGAGCTACTAATTCATAACAAAAGTTGATACAGATGGTAACATTGCAAGCTCTTTAGAAAATTTATATTGTTCACATATATTGTGAGATGTGCGAGTAATCATTTAAGAAACCACTTATCGTATTTGACGATTTAATGCTATAACCATATATTACCGTAACATTATACATGGTTCATGAGAGTGAAAACCCCTGATAATAATTTGGTGCATTAGAATGTATTTGCACCCCAAAAGAAAGCTACCAATCTATCAACAGTCCTACAAACACCCTGTCAGTTTTTCCTCATCACAGTGGGATTAGGACTTGTCATAATTATCCTGATGGGACCAGGATTAGCTTTCTCGCACAAAATTTTCCCATCATCATCGAGTCACATTAAGCACTAATCATGTAAAAAAGCTGGTTCTTGTTTGTCTTTGTGGAATTTAAGAAGGGCATGGGCTAGCTCACACATAAGAATGGCCAACTAGCTAGCAAAAGAATTTCTATGGTCCTCCTGTCCCCATTTCCAAACCTAACCTTACCCAAAACAGTTCTATATAAACCCACCTCGAACTCAATGAAGAAACACCATTCTACAAATACTATACTCACATTCTTTCCCTAGGTAAAATAAAGTAAAAATGTTGCACATCCTCTTCCTCTTCGCTCTGGTACTCACCCCAGCTTCCCACGCAGCAGACTTCTGCGTGGCAAAGTTGAAAGGCGCGGGAGGCGTGGCAGGGTACGCCTGCAGGGACCCTGCCAAGGTCACCGCCGCGGACTTCGTGTTCAAGGGCATCGTCACCAGCGGCAACACCACGAACATCATCAACGCGGCGGTGACCCCTGTCTTCGTGCAGCAGTTCCCAGCCCTGAACGGGCTGGGCCTGTCCACGGCTAGGCTCGACCTGGCCCCCGGAGGGGTCATCCCGTTGCACACCCACCCCGCGGCCAACGAGATTCTCGTCGTGACCTCCGGGGTCATCAAGGCCGGGTTCATCACCTCCTCGTCGAACAAGGTGTACATCGCGACCGTGACCAAGGGACAGGTGATGGTTTTCCCACAAGGGTTGTTGCACTTCCAGCTTAACGCTGGCAAGACGGCTGCTAGTGCTGTGGTGACCTTCAACAGCCCTGAACCTGGACTGCAGATTCTTGACTTTGCGTTGTTTGCCAATGACTTTCCTACTGAGTTGATTACGGGGACTACTTTCCTTGAACCTGCAGTAGTGAAGAAGCTTAAGGGTGTCCTTGGTGGTACTAATTAATTGATGAATTAGGGAGTGTTTGGTTTCTTCCAAGCCTGCTCATGTTTTTTCGATTATGTAATTTGAGTTATGAATTGATGTGGTGACTTTGTGATTCTGAGTTTGTGGGGTTTTATCTTCTTTTTTTTTCCAGGGTAATTTGTGTTAGTATGAGTTATCAATGTGGTAGCTAGCAGTGTACGTAATTCTGGATTGTGAAGATTTTTCGTTATTATCCATGTTTTGTATTTGCGAGGAACATTTTATGTGATTCATTATCACTTGAATTCTTCATAATGACATGAATAAATGTTATTACAAAGAAAAGGTAAATTTGACTCGTGATAAAAAAAAAGTGTATCCAAGCATATAAATTGTAGTTTAGTTCTAGGTTAATGGTCTTTTTTTTTTCTTTCCAAAAGATCACTCTTACTGAGAAATCCAGATACAAAAAGTCACACGGCCGAAAACAACCAAGAAACAAAATCGAACCCTCCTAAATGAGGGGACAACGAAAGAGCTTTTCTTGCCACCAAATGAGCAACACTGTTACAATCCCTACCAACAAACCGAATATCAAACACAAAAAACGAGCCCGTCAAGCTTCTAATTTCTTCCAATACTGTGCCACCCTGAACACCATCAACTTGACCTTCTCGAATCCTTCCAATCACCACCTGGACATCATCAGCAAAGATGACAGAATGAAGTCCCCATGCCAAACACCAACGAATTGCATCCCGAAAAGCTAACAGCTCCACCAGGGAGGGATAAAAAATCCCATGTACAAGGCTGCTGAAGCCGCCACCGCCACCGCCAGGTTAATGGTCTTGATAAGATATTTTATTCAATCCTATTAAGATATCTTCTTAAAATTACAAATGAGATTAAAAAAACAGAATACTTCAAAGAGAGTCACTATTTTATCTCTCACTTTTTGTTGCCATATTGCAAGAGTACAATTTATTATCATGGTTTTTAGGAGAAAATGATGGCTTGACAATCACATAAAGTTGGAAGGGACACTATTGTTTGTAAATTTTGATTAAAGGGAAGCTGACGGGAAGATGAATTGCTTGTTATGTTGAGATTGTCTTTCATGATTTACCAAATCATGAGTTTATACGTCAATTTTTCTTATACAATTCTAAGAAAAGTAGTTTCAATTGCACAACAAAACTCATACAAGAAAAATAATAATATGAATAATCAAAATTCACATGCTTGAAACCACATCTTCAAAGGATAAAGTGTGTGAGTGTCACATTGATCCAATTTTCTGACCTTTTCCTCCTTACCCTTCCAAAGGGGGCATGGCCATGGAGCCCTAGGGGGACCAATTTGTTATTCCAGTTTCCTTATTCATTCCAATTTTTAAATTAACAGGAAATAAAATAATAGGGTAAGGGATAAATTAAATGTCTTGTTTGGATGATAATGAAGAAAAACGGGTTAATTGCATGGTTGGTCACTGAGATTACAAAAAATGTTCAAGTTTGGTCACTCGAAATATTTAAATCCATGGGTGGTACTTCAGTTTACTGAAACCGTTCACGTTTGGTCACTCTCCGTCCAACTCCGTTAATTTTTGCTGATGTGGCAGTCAACTCTCAAAGTTGACCATTAACTTAATGACGTGGCAATTAAAAATTATTAAAAATAAAAAATAAACTTTTATATTTTCTACCTGATTATTACATTCAGTAAAACCCACCAGTCCTTCACAACCTGTGTTCTTTAATCCATCTGTTCCCTATCAAATCGTTCTAACCAAATCTATAAAAAAAAAAAAAAAAAAAAAAACTCGGTACCAAAAGAACCCAGATCAAGATCCATATTTGATTTCCCGAATCCTTCCCCATCCTCACTTCACAAGTCCTTCATCTCCTCATCTCGCCCAAAACACATACACCAAGAAAATCCCCAAATCCGGCAAAGACAAATTTCCCAATCATCTGAAGCCGGCGAGCCAGTGTTCACTGATTCTCTCTATCTAAACCCCACACCTCTCTCCATGCAGCAGATCTGTACTATCCCTGCGACAATCCGTTGGCGACCATCAGCCCGTCGCCGTCCTCCCTTCACAACGCCTCGCGGCGCCGTATCATCGTCGATCGCCTCGCCGCACATGCCAGCTTCAACAGAGCACAAGTCAGTCCTCGCCACCACAGCAGAAGCCACCGGTTTCTCCTCTCAGCTGCATCGTCGTCTTTGACCATCGACAGATCCAGTAGCACAAGACGACGGCCGGCAGCGAGATCCGACTTCCTCAACATCCTCAACTTTGCGGCGCCCGTACTCAGTCCGGTCAGAACTTCTCTCCAACGATCACGCAATGCCACTCTACTCAACCACCATCATCGTCGACAAGGCCAAGAAAGGCTCAATGGTATCAGTCCGTCTCGGCGGCGTAGATAGCGCGGCGATGGGAGGGCATTTCGGGGATAGTTAGGAGTTATTGCAAGTTGTGGGGAGAAAAGAGGGAAGGATCGTAAATACGTGGCTTGAGGGATTGTGGAGCGAGGGATTTGTGGAGATTGACGGTGGCGGCGGGAGCGACGAGGTGGTGGTTGGCGATTGCGATGAAGGGAATTATAAGGAAGCGGACGGTTCGGAGGTGGAAGGGCAAAAAGAAATTAGGTTTTTTATTTTTTATTTTTAATAAATGTAATAATGACGTGGAAAATATAAAAGTTTATTTTTAATTTTTAATTGCCACGTCACTAAATTAAATGTCAACTTTGAGAGTTGACTGCCACATCAGCAAAAGGTAACGGAGTTGGACGGAGAGTGACCAAACGTGAACGGTTTCATTAAACTGAAGTACCACCAATGGATTTAAATATTTTGAGTGACCAAACTTGAACGTTTTTTGTAATCTCAGTGACCAACCATGCAATTAACCCGAAGAAAAACACGATGAGCTCTCTGAGAGGCCCCAATGTTGGTGCTCTACCCGTAGGGGTGTTCAAATGGTTACCATGGTTATTACCAAACCAAATAAGGCTAAATTTCATTAACCATGAAATACAATATCATAACCAAACCATCCAAAAACTAATACAACAACCAAATTAACCAAACTAAAATTTAATCGGTTTGGTTAATTGGTTAACCAGATTAACCAATATAAAATCATATTATCATTAAGTGAGAAAATTTTCGGTTAAATTATCAATTCATAATTTATATAAGGGTTAATATTTTCGTATGGCCTGAACTTTGACCAAAATAAACATCCTGACCAATCTTTTCGATCTATAACATCCTGGCCCGAACTATACACCAAAATAAAAAATTTGGTCAGATTCGACTTTTGACCGTTAACTTGGACGGTCAAACGCGTTGACCGTTAGTCAACGCACCATGTCACTGCCAAGTCAGCATATAATATTTAATTTCACACATTCCCTAATTTTAAATTATTATAAATAATAAAAAAATCATCTAATACCTTAGTTAAACCAAAAATAAAAAACGGAAAAAATTAAATATTTATCAGATCTTCTGACTTGGAAGTGACGTGGCGCGTTGACCGTTAGTCAACGCATTTGACCGTCCAAGTTAACGGTCAAACATCGGGTTTGGCCAAATTGTTTATTTTGGTGTATAGTTCGGGCCAGGATGTTATAGATCGAAAAGATTGGCCAGGATGTTTATTTTGGTCAAAGTTCAGGCCATACGAAAATATTAGCCCTTTATATAATTAATAAAGCATTCTCATAAAAAATATAATGAATAAAACATAACAATCAACACATAGTTATAGTTGACCCTTAACATAAATACATGCAACTAAGACAATTATTTTACAGTTAGTATAGAAGTATTCACCTAACAAAAATTTATCACAATGGTATGGGTTAATGAATTGTGTGTTTGTTTGAATTGACTTAGTCTTTTAGCAATTTTGATAGGCTGAAAAGGACCTTGCTTTCAAGTTTTCATCCAACATAATGTATGAGGTCTATCTAAATTAGGCGTTCATATGTTGTGGTCTACACTCTACATATACAAATATACATAATAGGAACGATATCAAGCTTTATATTTTATGAGTCTAAAAGGATGAAAGTTTAACTCTTAAGTGGTTATTCAAAGTATTAAGTATGTGTATATATTAGATATATGGCTTATTATTTATCTGGTTAATTTGGTTTAGCTGGTTAGGAGTGCCTGAAACCAAACCAAACCACCTAAATCAAACAAGCTAAAAACTTTAACCAAACCAAACCAATTATCCAAATTAACCAAACCAAATTATCCAAATAATACTTGTTAAAACGGTTACCATGGTAACCACACCGTTTGAACACCCCTACCTAGCAGTCCAATCCACTTCAGTGGCCCAGCTCATGCCTTACGGCCCATGTTCAATCCTCGAGTCGAATTGATATCATCAGGTACAAATACCCTCCTGTATCTGCCTACAAGTCTACAACTAAAAGGCAGCTCTTGCAAAGTTCCTAACCCTATTGCCATTAAAACGTAGAAAATGGGATATTGCAACAGAGGAGAAAAGAGTTAAGAAGGATTTGATCAGTAGTGGTCTAGTGGACAACGGTTAATTATACCGGTAACACCTCTCCGAATAATGTTCAAACGAGAGTGTTTGATATTTTTGATGACTTATTTTTTTCCGAATAAGCTACGTTAAATTAGCCTACTTACATGAATGTTTGGTAAGAGCTCTAGAAATTATTATTTCTATGACAACTTTACTGAGAATAAAAAAAACTTGACATGAGCGTCAGAGTGTTAGTTTTGGAAACTTGTCTTCCATCTTTGTGTCTCCTATTTCTAGCAAAAAGATGTAACCACCGTAATAACGCTAGTTTGCCGATTGCTCCAGTTGCCTCGGAGACCACTGGTCGCACATTGATAACTACTAGCTTGCCGACTGCTTTATTCGCATTGGAGACCCCTCGTTGCCGCACCTTGGTGGCAGCTGGTATTAGATTAATAGCCTCAACGCCAGGTCTGGGAGTAGCTTAGTGAGCGTAGCAGCCTAGCAGGTGTCGACGAGGAAATTGTATTTGGCAGCTCTTGTTTGTGATTTTAACCCGAGATTAATAAGTACTTATTTTATTACATATACAAAAAACTATTGTTTGACAAATAATTTTTGTTTGTTGGACTGTCCTATGCAAATTTCAAGTTGGTTACTTGTTAGTTGGCTGTGAAGTAGTTTGGTTGCTAAAGATTGGAACAAGATCATGCCGTTGGGTGAACAAGAAAAAGGGTTGAAAGTTTTGTCTGGAAAGATCAATTATATTGCTGTTTTCGCAATAAACGGATGATATTAACTAATGGTGCATTTGGATAGGTGTATTTCAATTTCAAATGTAACGTATTTGAAATGCTGGCATTTGAAATACATATAATTCAAATTCGTTATTTGGATAATCATTTGTTATTTGTCTATATTTTAAATTTCATGATTTTTTTATTTCAATTTTGCATTTTCTAGTCACTTACTACAAATTTTGGTAAATTATAGTTGGTACCCAAATTCATTTTTCCTTACAAATTAGTACCTAAACTTTTAAAAATTTACAAAAAGGTCCAAAAATTTGTACTGTAAAATTACATTTTGGTACCTTTATATATTTTGCCCACACTATAGTACCTAAACTTTTAATATTTTATCAAAATGGTCCAATCTTTTGTTAGCAGGTATTTCAAATCACTAGTTGTTGATATGTATTTGAAGTTGACAAGTAATACACTAGACATGAATTTGGTACAAATTCAAATACCAAATGTAATTAATATCCAAACACATGATTTGACATTTAGAAATCCAAATCACAAATACTAAATCCAAATCATTCTATCCAAACACACCTTAAGAGAATCACGGATTGGAAGCCAAAACTTTTGAGCTATGCAGGCAAGTTGCAACTCATTCATTTTGTCCTAAACAGCCTCTCACAATTCTGGATGAATGTATTTCTTTTACCTTTGTCTGTCATAAAAGAAATTGAGAGTAAATGAAATAACTTTCTATGGGGAGTGGATGAGGATTCACGAAGAACAAGAGCAGTTGTGGCAAGAGATCAGCTGACCATTCCTAAACAGGAGGGAGGATTGGGGAATAAGTGGATTGGTTTCAGCTCAAATGGAGTAAATACTCGATACCTAAGCACAGTTTTCTTAGCTGGCCGGTGGTAAAGAATAGGATTGTAACTCTCGATAAGCTTAAATGTTGGGGTTAAATTGGTGATGATACATGTGTCCTCTGTTCTGCAGGGCAAGAGATGCAAGATTGTCTTTATTTCAGCTGTCCTTACTCATTCAGTGTCCTCAAAAGGTGTTCGCAGATGCTTCAAAGTCCTTGTCCATGTTTCGCTAGTCATGATGAGTTCCTCACTTGGTCTGTTCAGAAGTTCAGAGGGAAAAAGGCAGTTGCAATAGTAGTCAGATTGGTATGGAATGTGGCTGTCAGCATGTTATGGCGTGAGAGATGCTCTAGAGTTCATGGAGACAAAGCTGTCTTGAGCAGTGAGGTAGTCAGATCAGTTCGTAGATTGATAGAATTAGCCCGAATGGAGAATGCATGACTTGATTCTGATTGTAGCAAAGTATTTTTGTACAGTTAGCTGTTGGTTTTGGTTAGTGGTCTGTATGTAGTAGGAAGTGGTTGTAAGAAGTAATATTAGACAAGTCTGTTGTCTAAATTGTAAAGGTTCAGGTCCTTCCTCCATGTTAAGGGGGTGGCATTATGCTTAATGAAATTTTTTATATTGTCCATAAAAAAAGATGAAATTAATAACGAAAATATTTTTTTTTGATAAAAAAGATGCAATGCATCTTAGCTTTCATTTAACACCAGACGGGGTATCGAGATACCCTGACAATCGTACATAAGGAGGTTACACAGGAAAGGATTTGAAACTGAAAAATCATGGACACCCATAGGTAGTCCGTGGCCGCAATTGGCAAGATAGTCCGCACAAGCGTTACCCTCTCGGTATATGTGAGAGATGGTGATGTCCCCGTCCTGGTCTACAAGAGACTAGCGAGCTATGATGGTGGGGCTGCTCGCCTCTGGCCTCTAGCAACTGCACTGCGCACCGGGAGTCCACCTCTAAGCGTATTCGCTGGAACCCAAGACTGCGCGCCAACTTTAGTCCTTCAATAGCGCCTCTCAATGAAAGGACTAAAGTTACTCTACCTGTGAATTGGTTTTTCCATTATTTTTTAATTTATTTTATGTTTTAATTTAGATAAGAATAGCAACGGAGCCCAAACCCATGGTTACCCAATTCGATTTGATTAAAGTGGGTAAAAATTCATAGTTTTGGAACGGTTCAGTGCGAGTTGTCATTAGAAGCAACTTTAGAGCAATGATTAAAATACTGAATCCCTAAATGTCGCCCTAATAATTGCTATACGTCGCCCTAACTTAAATGTCATATTACCTATATACCCTTAATGAAAATTGAAAAAATAAGAGAACCAAACAACCCTTACCTTTCCCTCGGCAGCAACGAATCCACAACAGCCCTAAACCTTCCACCCTCTCCACCCTTTCCGCCGGCGAACTCCTCCCGCCGCCGGTGCTCTCCCCCTCTGTCCCTCTGCTGTCCCGCCGCCGCTGCTTTGCCTCCTGGTCCACCGACGCGCAGACGAGAAGAAATCCCGCCGCCGGTGCTCTGCCGAACTCCTCCAGTCGCCGGTGCTCTCACCTGTCGCCGTCGCCAATCTCGCCCGCCAGTCGCCGCCGCCCGCCAGTCCCGTCGCCGCCCACCAAGTCGCCGCTCGTCCCGTCGCCCGCCATTGCGCGCTCGTCCCGTCGTCGCCCATCGCGCGCTCGCGCTCCACAGTCGCGCCAGAGAAGAAGAAGGTAAAAAAAAAAAAAATCCGACCGCAGTCAAACCGCGGTCTGACCGACGGTCAACCGTGCTTTGACCGCGGTCAGCCGTCGGTTCAACCGCGCTTTGACCGCGGTCAGCCGTCGGTTCAACCGCGCGTTGACCGCGGTTGACCCGTTTTTTTTTAATTCTGTTTTTTAATATTCTGTGTTTAAATAAATGTTAATAATAATAAAAAATTAAAAATATACTTAATAAAAATAATTTAGTTATAATTATATTTAATGATAACGTATTCGATAAATGTTAATTTAGTTATAATGTTAATTTAGTTATAATTTAGTTATATGATATAAAAATTTAAAAAACGTTTTCGATAAATTTTAATTAATGATAACAAATTTAAAGAACATAATAAAAAAATTAAAAATGTATTTTTATCATTTTAATAATCAAAATTTCAAAGTAATTCGTTTATCTACTTAATTATTAATAACTTTACCTTGATTAATTATTTACTTTAATGTAAATAATGATTACATAGAACGTAACATAAATGTTCAAACTATTAATTTTATAATTTTAATTATGGAAATCTTTAATTAATTTGTTTCTGAAGGATCCACGCTTTTTGTGGATAAGAGTCGTGATCGCCTTCGTCCTGCGATCAACTTGTTTCTGAAGGATCATCGACGATTGACTGATTACGCTTGGGGAGCTGGTGCACTAGCCTATCTCTACAGACAGTTGGGAGTGGCCACACGAGCGGGTAGTAAGGGTCTTTGTGGTTGTTTGACCCTGCTTCAGGCTTGGATATATGAGTATTTTCCTCTATTCCGTCCGAGTCAGCTGCCGCAGTCTCCGGATGCACCTCGTGCTTCCTCGTGGATTTCTCCCCGTTTGCCAGGTGGGGATGAGGCTAGACAGAGGTTAGCACGTTATCGACAGTTGTTGGATGAGCTTTCAGCTGATGATGTGACCTGGACTCCGTACGGACGAGATGGCCACACAGATATACCCCGCTCCTTGTATACTGGCCGCATTCGCTTTTCTGACATTGCTGAGGGATACGATCCTGCACGTTGTCTGCGCCAGTTTGGATACCGACAGATTATCCCCCGTGCTATGACGGTACCACATGACCAGTACCGTCCGGCTTCCGGCAGCAGTTACATAGTCTTTTGGGATCCGTGGGTGAATCAGTTGTGGGATAACGTGGCAGCCCGTCGTCTAGAGTTGGATTTTGCTTCTCGGCCGTGCGAGCACCCATCGGAGTCGTGGAGGAGTACGTTGACTGGTTTCTGACTAGATCGCACCAACGGATCACCCAACCCACTGATGGGGTGCCTCAGCCTCGACCACTACTAGTTCATCAGGTTAGTTATGACTTTCTTTTGCTTTTCCAAATATAAAGAACATTTGTTATTTATTCTAACATTGTTTTCTATTTACAGTTGAGAGAGCAGATTGTGGATCGTTTAGGTCCCGTGTTGCTGACGAGGGACTGGAGTAAGTGGGAGGAGGACGGTGGTAAGATCTATGACATGGTAGCTGGGGTTTTCGAGTTGTACGACCACCGCCTCAGTAGACGATTGTGTTTTTTATTTGTCATCGTTTGTAGTTGAACTGAGACTATTGTGCTTTTTATTTGTCATCGTTTGTAGTTGATCTGAGACTATTGTGCTTTTTATTTGTCATCGTTTGTAGTTGAACTGAGACTATTGTGTGTTTTATTTGTCATCGTTGGTAGTCGAATTGAGACGGTTGTGTTTTTTTTACTTTAGTTACGTTCAATGCATTGCTAAAATAGTTAATCAAGATTACTAAATGTTTCAACAATAGAGAGTTATACAATTCGTAAAATATACTTCCAATCTTCATCCCCGTGGGTTCAATCTATCATAAAGCGCACGTTCATGTAAGAAGAATTGATCCCACCCATTGACACTAGGGTCATGAAAAATAGGCCAATGGCCATTAATTGGAGGCATGGGCACTTGACCATGTCGAAAGTCAAGTCGCACCCAATGATCCCCCGTAAAATGTAGTGATAAGATCCCACGTGGTCTTATTACTCCTGGTGGGGCCGTCACAGGTAGCACGGTATAACGACCGCCTTGACTGTATACAACTATAGCCCATGAATGCAAGGTGGCGAAGACGAAGAGTTCCGCATTATCCATCCAGTTGGGAGGTCCACAGCCACTTGTTGATGCCCACCTGCAACGTCGAATGCCATTTTCTCAACCAATCCTCCTGCCTTGTCACTGACAAACACATATGGAACAATGGGGCCAAGAAGATGTTGCAAATGCGTCAGAAGCCACTGGTACGACTCCTTCGTCTCGTCGTACACTATTGCAGATGCAATGACAAAGTTCAATCCCACTAGTGTCATGCCGACAATCTCAACCCAAGGCATATCATACTTATTGGTCTTGTATGTTGCATCTATCACGATCACATGGTGCCAAGCTCGCAACATCACTACTGACTCAGGGTGGGCTAGAAACAAGTGTGTAAGCATGTTACGATCGTCCATATACTGCACATAGTAACCCTTCTCCTGCGCCACGCGGAAAGTATATTGTAAGGATGTCATCTGACCAAGCTCTTCTTTCCTTATCTTTTGCAACTCGTTATAAATCTGCTTTCTGTTGTGTGTTCCATTTGCACCTTTTCTCTCATTCACTGCCTTGTGGATATTCCTTGGTGGGACACCGGCTGATCTCAGCTCTCTGATGTATTGCTTATCCTCTGTAGTCAGAACATTCCTTCCCTTTGATCCTTCCGGAAATAGCTCCAACTGATGATTGTGGAAACCCAAATTAGCACCAGGATTCTTTGTATTTGCCACCCCTAGGATCAACCAATATCCATCACCTGACCGCTCAAGCTTGATCTGAAACTCGCACCCCAACTTTTCAGTAGATGTAAGAGGCCTCCTTTCCTTACTCGGATCAGGTTCCTTCGACTTCTTCTTCCTACCATGAGTGCAATGTAAGTAATGTCGCCAAGTACCTTCATTCTTATTTTTTTTGTTCGATGCCTTCACCAAATAAAACCCAAAACCCTTGGCAATCTCAGTAGCTGCTTCATATGCTTGCAACTCCGTAGTGTATTTCACGCCATCAATGAAATCCGAGGTGTAATCATGACCATCCGGATTGTAACTTCCAATATCCTGCGATGTTATCAGAATTTATAAGTGATGCCCCACAAATTAAAAAAAAACTTAACATTCTATATCATCAATTTAACGAGTACCATATGATAAATTTAAAATTTCATAACTATATTAAATTTAATAATCATCATAACTTCATATGCGAATCTATTATTTATGCAATAAATTTAATCTTAATTTGTAATGCAAAATCTAATCTTAATTTTCTAGATTAAGACCAAATTAAATATAATCTTCATATGCGAATCTATTATTTATGCAATAAATTTAATCTTAATTTGTAATGCAAAATCTAATCTTAATTATCTAGATTAAGACCAAATTAAATCTAATCTTAATTTAAGGCCAAATCTAATCTTAATTTCTAATGCTAAATCCTTCAATTCCAAAAATAATTATGCAAATAAATCTAGAAAATTATATAAATCAAAACCCAACAAATTATCTCATGGAACAAATCATAAATCATATAAAAAATAGAAAATTATTCAACGAAAAAAAAACCCAGAAAATGCCCAACCGCAAGTGACCTGCGGTTGGACCATGGCTGGACCGCAAATCACCTGCGGTTGGACCATGGCTGGACTGCAAATGACCTGCGGTTGGACCATGGCTGGACCGCAGGTGATTTGCGGTCCAACCATGGTCCAACCGCAGGTCATTTGCGGGGCACCCATGGTCCAACCGTAGGTGATTTGCGGTCCGGCCATGGTCCAACCGCAGGTCACTTGTGGTCCAGCCATGGTCCGACCGTAGCCACTTGCGGTTCTCATTTTTTTTTTTCGTTTTTCAGTTAATGTATTTACCTCGTCGGAGTCGCTACTCATAATTCAGACGTCCTACCGACGATATCGGCTTCAAAATGACGATGATGGATTTTTTTCTCTCCTTAGATAGTGTTTTTTTAGTCCAAGTGGTGTTTGTTTGATAAAGGGAAGATAAAGAAGATAGGGGGTTATAAGTGTAACTTTAAACTTTTTTAGGGCGACCTTTACCAATTCTAAGGGCGACCTTTAGCAACTCCCTTAAAATATCGTACCAGATTAGACAATGAATTAAATGGAGTTTGAGGTATTTCTTCCTACTCAATTTATCCTTAGTAACCATAAATTAATTACCAACGGATTGGTATTTCTTCTCTATATGAACCTTGTTTTGCTTTTGGATTATATTAGACGAATAAATTGAAGTTCCACATTTCAGGAAACTATGAAAGTCCGCCTATTATATATTGCTGGCCGGCGGCGGTGGAATCTGTTTTAGGCCGTAACGATTCTGTCGAGTGTGTTTAAATTTCATGACATTCGACGGCAGCAAGAAAGACATAATCATCAAATAGATTAAAATGCCACATTACTCGAATCAACTTAGGAAACGATGTCAGTACAACTATATGCCAAAACCCTGATTTCCCTCCCATTCATTCCCATCCCCTATATAAATCTCATGATCATCAAACTCAACTTCCTCACACCCCGAATTGGCAAACATCAAACGTTACTAATTAAGATCCCTAGCCAAACCTCAAAATGACGTCCCATTCTAACAAATTGTTCATTACTCCCATTGTCCTCGTCACCCTGATCTCCATCTCCTACCACATCTCAAACGCCGCAGATTTCTGCGTGGCAGATTTCGATATCGGATTTCAGACCCCAAGTGGATACCCTTGCAAGAACTTGTCTTTGGTCAGCGCTAGCGACTTTAAATACTCTGGCCTCGTCACCGGCGGCAGCACCGCGAACATGAACAAAGTAAGCATCATTCGTGCTTTCGTCCAACAGTTTCCGGGCCTGAATGGGCTAGGCATGGGAGCGGGCCGGCTGGACATCGTGCCGGGAGGTGCCATCTCGGCCCACACTCACTGGTACGCGTCGGAGATGATCTACGTGGTGGAGGGGACCGTCACCGCAGGGTTCGTCTCCGGCGTGGCCACCAATACCGTGTACCTCAACAAGCTGAGCAAAGGAGAGATTATGATCTTCCCACAAGGATTGGTTCACTTCCAGGTCAACACCGGGACCGACACCGCCGTCGTTTTGGCTACGTATGGGAGTGAGGATCCGGGCACTCAGATCATTAGCCCGGCCTTGTTTGGCAACAATCTGCCGTCTTTCCTTGTTGAGAAAGCTACCAATATTGATGAGGCTGAAGTGAAGAAGCTCAAGGCCCTTCTTGGCGGCTCTGGCTAGCTACAACAATTAAGTGGCGTGCGTGACGTGATCATCATCGTATAATCAAGAGAAATAATATTTGATGTAATATAAATAAGCGGTTGAAAGATGAATAATGATGTAATATTGATGAAGTAAATGTTGATGATCCTACGCCCTATGTTTATTTCGTAGTCGTGGGTTGATCAATAGACTGATGAAAAGAATTTCTCTTCATTTTCTTATGGAGATCATGAAATAAAGCTCCTAACGGTAATATTAACAAGGGTCAACTCAACTAGGGACCAAAGGTGTTTGATATGATTTTGTGGTTGAATAGTATGGTGTAATCCCGAAAACCCTATCTCTCAACTAGCTACAACCAAGCCCTACCCAAAAAACTAGCTCCGAAACTAAGTCGACAAGGGAATTCGTAATTGGTCTGAGATCGTTTCTATTAGAACGGATTGAGCAATCGACAATGCAAGACAACAAAGAAAACATAAATTTACGCAGTTCACACTAAAATGATGTGTGTTGGCCATGTTCACGGATATGAGAAAGCAGTTTCACTATAGGTAAAGAAAGACAAATTATAGAGATTAAGAAGGCATATACCTTTTCCATATGGTATAACTTAATCCAATCGAAACCATCGTGACTTCAATTCGACGATAGATAATCTGTTTTCAAGTCATATTTGTGTTTTTCGTTTGAGTTTTTACTTTTTAGGGATTCCTCTAAGGACTTAGGTCTTCGTGAAGTAATGAAAGGACTAAAGTTACTCTACCTGTGAATTGTTTTAACTTTTCCATTGAAAATAGTTTTTATAAATTATTTGAATGTGTCCATATAATAAAAAGACAAAAAAAGATAAAGACTAAAACATAAGAATAGACTCATTATTTAATGGGTTAATACCTTATTCTATGGATTATTTAATGGGTTAATAAATTATTTGAATATGACCATATAATCAATTTTGGCCCGTGGTTTCATAAATTAACATCCTGGCCTCAATTATGCAGCATATAGACTCAATTGGCCCGACACGTGGTTTGACTGTCTATTTGGACGGTCTGTGGTGTTGACCGTTAGTCAACTATCCAACTCACTGCCATGTGAGCACCAATCCAGAAAAAATTCAAAATATTTTATTATTTCCTTTATATAATTAACAAAATAATGAATAATGAAAAAATCAAACCCAAAATAAATTCTGGCCACCCATTGGAATCCTAACCATCATTCTTCCCCTTCTTCCTCATCGCCAGCTCTGTTCTCTGTTCTTAGAAAACCATTGGAACCAAATGCATAAGCGGAAAACATTAAAACTCCAAGCTTGTAGATCCAAATTTCGATTGAAGTACCCAACAATTCATTCGTTCGAGGAATTTCAGCGATTTCTTATGGTTGGGCAAAAATCAATGATACCCTAGAAAATGGAGTTTGGGAGAGACGTGGCAAGCCACCTGGAAATGGTTGCTTCACTAAACTCATATCCCTCTCTCTCTCTCTTCACTTCCTCCACCGTGTTGCAATCTCCCCCAATCCCCTAACAATCGATTCAATTCAAGATCTTCAAGCTCTGGTTCCAGGAGACAGAGTAAATCATGCCGCTAATGCGATGTCGAGAGCAGCGACAATGTCAGCGCGTTGGATCTGAGGATCTTCTTGTGATAGCGGACAATGATGACGATGCTCGGGAAAGTGAAGCGTCGAAGCTTGTCGATGACAGTCAGGAGCACGACGAGATATTTCTGTCGGTGTTCCGACGAAGATGGTTTCCCGGCACAGATCTTTCCGCCTTGATGGACAGGGAAAGCTTTATCCTCTCGAAACGTCGCGGCCTTAATGGACGAAGAGTATTGGAGCAGAGGAAGGCGACAACGTAGCGGGTGAGGCAGAGGAAGGGGATTGGTTGTGGTTTTGAAATTGGGATTTTTTCACATTGGGGAGAGATTTGTTTGACCGAAGACGATACAGAGGAAGTAAGTTTATATTCATTTCTAATTTTTTTATTTAATTTTATTAATTTATTAAATAATTATATTTTTAATTAATTTATATTGATTACATGGCATCCACGTCAGCACTAGATGTTGATTCACTAACGGTCAACAGTATTGACCGTCTAAATTGACGGAAATTCACTGGTTAGGATAAACTAGTCTATATGCTGCATAATTGAGGCCAGGATGTTAATTTATGAAACCACGGGCCAAAGTTGATTATATGGTCATAGTTTGGGCCATAATAAGGTATTAACCCTTATTTAATACAGAGTTTGTCATGTACAACGTTGGATATATAATACTCTCGATTTCACGGATCCGGACGGTCAGTTGATGGGAAGAGACTTCCGTTGAAATTACAACATTTAGCAACGACCACACGGACTGTCATTACAAGGGCGTCGCTAAGTCGTGCTTTTCTTGTAGTGTAGTGACTTCAAGTTCTCCGACCTAGTCAACGGCGGCAACACCGCAAACATGAACAAAGTAAGCATCATTCGAGCTTTTGTCCAACGATTTCCGGGCATGAATGGGTCGAACATGGGAGCGGGTTGGCTAGACATAGAACTGGGAGGTGCCATCTCGGTCCACACTGTCACGAATCAACTCTTGACCGTGCGACACATAGTACTCAAGTCTCATTAGAGCACTAAGTCAGTCTAGCTCGCATTCACTCAAACTCACAAGTTTAGAGAAAACTCTAGAGATGGAAACTCTCAATTTCTGGATGAATGAAAAGTGAGGGAGAGGGCTGCTTATATATGCATCCTCTTCACCAAGTACAATGTATGTAAACCATCATGCATTAATGAATGAATCTAGAAGTCCCCCCATAAATGAATGATAATTAATAAGGTGAATGTATGTTCACTCATAGATGAATAATAATAAATAAAGTGGATGCATGTACATTGGTGCATGAATCTGAAGATGCATGCATGTTCCTACATCCTTCTAATGTCTTCTAAAATCTTCTCCGTGACATTCTCCCCCATCAAATTCACGACGTTCTCGTCGTGATGCCTTCTTCGTATTGGCAACATTGTTGGTGTGGTAATGATGTACTTCATGGTGAGGCAAGGGTGGCCCTGGTCCTTGCACAAGTTCCACTCCTCCAAGATGTCGTGCTCTCCTTGCCCTCACTCTCTTGCCCCGCCAGAAGCACCTCGTCCGTCGCATCTTGGGTCTCGCCTTTGTTACCTTGGCTTGCGTTGTCATGCAAGCCTTATAAACATTGAGTGCCTCTTCCATTAGTGGCACTACCCGCCTCTTTCCTATCTTCTTCTCGTGCGGAATGCCAAGCTTCAATGCTGCATTCGTGTCGAGAAGACTTAAGTGCTTCGAGGTTTCAATGTAAGAGTGCAGACTGACCTCAACCCACTCACCAAATTGAAGAGAAAGAGGTGGAGCTAAAGGATTTAGAATTGAAATTGAGTTGAGGGACCGTCATCGCAGGGTTTGTCTCCGGCGTTGCCACCAATACCGTGTACCTCAACAAGCTGAGCAAAGGAGAGATAATGATCTTTCCACAAGGGTTGGTTCACTTCCAGATCAACACCGAGACCGAACACACCGTCTTTTTCGCTACTTATGGGAGTGAGGATCCGGCCACTCAGATCATTAGGGGATATTTCCAGAAATAGCACTGTTTAAAATATATATTCTAAAAATAGCACCCAGCCCGAAAAAATTCCAAAAATAGCACCCTTTCCCCAAAATCGCCACCCGAACCAGCGGTTTAGGCAAAAACCGCAACCCGGGGGTGCATTTTCTATGAAAACTGCACTGGTAGGGTACGGTTTTGCAAACCGCATGGGGTTGGGGCGGTTTGGTTGCAAACCACACACCCACCATGCTGTTTATAATATATATTTTTTTTCCAAAATAAATATTGAAAGTGGTTTTGGCACAATTGGTTTAGTTGTTTATTGTGTGCAAGAAGTCCTGGGTTCGAATCCGGAATGCGTTAGAGTGGTTATTAAATTTTGAGTAACCACGGTGGCTACTAACATCTGCACCCTTAATTATATCTATTTCATCCTATTTTTAAGTTGACGGTGAAGATTATATGAAGGATAATTTTGGAAACGAAAATAATACACCACCTGATTATTATTCTTTAAAAAATTATTTTTATATATTGTACCGCAAACCCTAATGCAATCCCCTCCTCCTTCTCCTCCCCTTCTACCTGCCGACAGCCCTTCTTCTCTGGACAAGAAATTGCAGCCGCCTCCTCCCTCTTCTCCCCTCCCACCCGGCAACAACTCTTCTTCTCCCCAGCCTCCCGCCTTCTCCCCTCCCCCGCCGTCCCCACACCACCCCTCCCACGCCGTCCTCAAAGAAACCGTAACTCTCAATTTCCCCTCTTAACAAAAAGAAATCGATTCTCTATCTATAAGCTGGAATTATTTGAACATGTCTCTACCAACAACACCAGGTTATTTTCTTTTATTTTTGTGATTATGTTTGTGCTAGTGACTAGTGAGGAATGATGTGTTCTTGTAAAGTTGCTGCTAATAGGAATAATCTTCCTTGATTCTTCGTTAAATGATTTTTGCTTGTGATTTTTTTTTTACGTTTTCAATTTTGATATTGAGGAACTATTTTTGGTTGGGTATATTTTCCATGTATTATTGCTTGCTTTTATACGAGTGATCATTCGATCATTTTGTTGCAGTATAATTAGCTCTTATAATTTTAATTAGTATTTGTTATTTGTTATTGGTTTGTAAATTGTAATCGTATTCCTCCACTGGCTGCAATTTTTTTTATTTGCATAATGGTATTGCTTTACTAAGCAGTGGTATTGGTAATGACATTCGTTATGGAAAATTGCCTTTTCTTTTGGTAGTACACTACTATTTGGTATTGTTTGTCCTTTGTGTAATGGTAGTCCTGCAATGGTATTGATTCGATGTGCAGTGGTATTGGTTATATAACAACATGATATTCATTCATCTTCGTTTGGTAGTGACATTTTAGATTGGTATTGGTTCATTACACGTGTATTAGTATTAACAATGCTAGTCTGGTAGTTCTTCAAAGTCTAATGGTATTGGTTCAAACCTCAATGTTCATAATTCTCTTCATATATGCAATGGAATAGATTGTTTATATTGGTAGTTTTTGTGTAATTGTATAGATTTATTTCTGCAATGGTATTGATGTTTTTCAAAGTGGTAGTGGTTGTCTAATGGATTGGTAGTGATTTCGTGTTTTTTTTGTATGGATTTTTTGTTTTGTTTTGTTATTGATTTTGTCGCATTAGTATTACTTTTGTCGCAATGGTATTGTTTTTATCGCATTGGTATTATTTTTGTCGCAATGGTATTGTTTATATCGCATTGTTATTGATTTTCTCGCAATGGTATTATTTTTGTCGCATTGGTATTGGTGTTTTTGTGAAATGGTAGTGTTTTTATTTCTCGAATGGTATTGGTATTTTGTGCAACGGTAGTGTTTTGTAATGGATTGATATTGTTTTATTGTTGCAGCGGTATTGGTTCGACAGAACAAAATCAATGGAAAGATTGAGAAAAGGAAGGAAGAAGCATATGGCTGAAGATTGTGAAAATGAGAGAAAAAGAGAGAAATGGTAGTTAATATAATTTTGTAATTTCCTAAAATGTACTTTATTAAAAAAAGTAATTAATAATGATACGTTTTTTATAATGGTATTGATTTTCTAGACTAGTATGGATTTTTGGTATTGGTATTGATCTTTCTTGGATTGGTATTTATTTTGTCTAGATTGGTACTAATTTTTCGTATTGGTATTGATTTTTTGTTAGGTAGTCGAAAAAAGTACAGATGGTTACAATCGTTGAAGCACAAGGATGAAAGGATCAGAGGAAGGCAAAAAGGTAGAATCAAATAGAGAGAGATATATAGAGCGAATAATATAGTTTTTGTATAAAATTATTTCTCCACTGTAATTAATTCAATGCAATTAACATAAATGCAAGTAATTCTTTTGATATTCAATCCCAATCCATCCAAACAAATATATATTAATACCACAACGTCAACACTACCAATAAACATATGCACCACTACCAAAACAATAAGCATCAGAATATCAGAATACCACTACGTCAACACTACCAATAACCATATACAACACTACCAAAACAATAAGCACCAAAATACCATCACTACCCTTAGTAACCACGGTGGCTACAAGGACCAAGTTACCACCGTAACCGCTCCCGTTCGAATCCCCACCATCCCATTTGAATTTTTTTTTTTTGGAGATTAAAAAAAGCAACATGTTGTGGGAGTGGTGGATCAAACCTACATAATAAATAGTTTACTAAATTTAGCACAACATCTACACCACTCAACTACAACTCTTCTCTTGAAACAATTAATATATTGACAAAGTTTTACTCATTGAAAGCTAAAAATCCTCAATAACTTTAAATAACCATAACTTTGTGCTCCAAAATCCGAACGTCATGAACTTTTTTTTTCATTTCGCATAACTTTTTAAGGACTACAATTTTCACTAGGAATGAATTTTCAAAACTTGAATTATTTTTGGATATACAGGATTTTGGGAATAGCTTACCTTCCCTTTTCAGCAATCCACGTACATTTCAAAATTATGTCTATGATAAAATTTATAGTCCTTAAAAAGTTATGTGAAATGAAAAAAAAAATTCATGTCGTTTGGATTTTGGAGCACAAAGTTATGGTTGTCCAAAGTTTGGCGAAATCGGAAAAAGCTCGTTCGGGGTAGCAAATGACATTTTTTCGGCACGAAGGCGGGACCGACAGTTTGCTGCTTGCAAGATCTCGAAAAGTTATGCGGAATAAAAAAAATCACGACGATCGGATACCCGAACACAAAGATACGTTCGTTTGAAGTTTTCACCTAGGTTAGGATTTTTTTTTAAAAAAAACCAAAACCGCATGGTGGGGGTGAGGTTTGCAAAACCGCCCCCTACCCGTGCGGTTTTCATTGAAAAATGCGCCCCCGGTAGCGGTTTTCGCCTAAACCGCTGGTTCGGGTGGCGGTTTTTGAGAGAAAGATGATATTTTTGAAATTTTTTTTTTAACAGTGCTATTTCTGAAAAAATCCTCATTAGTCCTTGTTTGGTAACAATTTGTCGTCTTTGCTTGTTGAGAAAGCTACCAATATTGATGAGGCTGAAGTGAAGAAGCTCAAGGCCCTTCTTGGCGGCTCTGGCTAGATTGATTGAGAGGCGCACGTGATTGTCGTATACTGAAGAGAAATAATGATGCAATATGACTAAGCGGAAGTAATATAAATAATGATGTAATATTTGATGAAATAAATGGTGATGATCCTACGTTCTATGTTTATTTCGTAGTCGTGGGTTGATCAGAAATAAAAGCACACTACAAGAATTTCTCTTATTTCTTTTTCGTAAATTTGAAGAGTTAAGGTATAAAAATGTAACAAAAAAAAAATTAGGTATTAAAATGTAATTTTTCATTGCTCTGAAGTGAATCGCTATTCGTCGCCTTAAAATTCAAATTTTATCGCCCTAAAACATAACAAATTGACATATTGACCCCTCAACTCAATTTTAATTCTAAATCATAGCCGAACAAGTCATTATCCCTTCCGAAGTCCGAACCCACATCCACCGCCGGCCTACCCTACTCACCCCCAACCAACATCCGCCGCCAGGCACCATCTCTGTCACCCCTGTTCACCCCCAACCTCGTGGGTTGTCAGTCGCCCCTGCTCACCCCCATCTTTGCCATCCTCTCCTGCTGCTGCTACTCTACCATCGGAGGGAAGGAGGAAGAAGAGGTGGTGGATGGAAACGTAAGCAATATTGGAGTTCCACCCAAGTTTTGTACACAACAATGGAATATGAACGTAGTATTTTACAAGGCTAACCCAAATTACTAAGACACAAGAGAAAACAGAGTATGTGTAATTAATGGGGGAGTATGAAATGAAGAGAGACATTCGAAAATCTATTTAACCGACAAGTGCTAGCTCAGGCCGTCTGTCATAACAAGTCGATTTTCAGTGCTGGGGTATCTGACAACTTGAAAGCTGACTTGGTCCAATGCTTTGGGTTTAAGGAAGGTAGTCTGCCTGTCAGGTATCTAGGTTTGCCTTTGAATGCTGGGAAACTCTCTTCTTGTAAGTCCCTGATTAATAGAATAGTTAGGAGGATTATGGGTTGGCAGCCAAAGCTTTTAACCTATGATGGGAAGCTTGAGCTAGTAGTGTCAATATTAGCTAGTATGACTCAGTTTTGGATGAATGTTATCATCCTGTCAAAGAAGGTGATTAAGCAAATAGAAGCTCTCGGTTCTCAATTTCTTGGTGTATTCTCTCTGATTAGGAAACACTTTGGATAGCTTGGATTAAGGAGTATCGTCTTCGTAATTTGAGCATCTGGGACGTGAAAACTAGAGGATCTTGGGTATGGAACAAGATACTTAAGCTGCGTGGTGATTTTGCAGGGAAGCTGTGTAAAACTAATCAAGGGTTGGAATGGGAAGGGGAGAAAATGGCCAGATTTCAGATTAGCAAAGTTTGGCAGAGTATCAGGCCGAGAGGTGAAGTAGTGGGGTGGTCTAAACTGGTCTAGAATGGTGGTATTCCTAAGAACTCTACGATTACGTGGTTGACTTACTTGGGGAGAATAACTACCCTGGATGTGGTACAATGTTGGAACCCTGAAGTGGTTGTTACGTGTCCTCTCTGTGGACAAGAATCAGAGTCAAAGAATCACATTTTCTTTCTATGTGACTATGTGCCGGAAGTATGGCGTACGGTGTTTCCTGCGCGATGGCAACTCCCGGTGTCCCTTAACCTGCAACAGGTGGTGGATTTAGCAACTCAGAAAATCAGTAAGTGTTTGGTTGGTAGAATTCTCTGGTGTCTGGTGTTGAGTGAGGTGTGGCAAGAACGATGTAGGCGGGTTTATGGCGGCAAGAAGCTATATATTGAGGAGCTAATCAGTAAGCTGCAGGGGGTGATGGAAGCAAAGGAGCTGGGGGACCTCAGATTTGCTGAGTCTTCTGCTACACAGTCCTTGTGGTATAAGACTAACTCCAACCCAAAAAGCTATATTTAGCCTCCCAAGCTCTCAAATGTGCATATTTGCCTCCCCAAAACACCTTTTTGCTCCAACCCTATAGGCTTCCAAATTTAGCTTCCCACATCTTTTTTTGATTTAATTTCCATAATCCATACTTATTTACAATATCATTCTTGTAATTCACTTTTAATTTTTTTTATAGTTTGTTATTACTTGTGAAAACAAAATTTTTGATACAATTTTTTTTAATACCGAGATATTTTTTTTTCAAAATTAGTCATTTTTTGTAGCCGTTACTTTATGACCTTTTTTTTGGACCGATCCAAATATGATCGTTTTTTTTTAGCCGTTACTTTGTGACCGTTTTTTTGTCGTTTTGTGCATCATATGTGTTTATAAATTACAATTCTTCATTTTTCATCAACTCACTGAAACTTCTTCCCATTTCTAAAACAAACACATTCATCATGAGTATGTCAGATAGCTCATCGTCGGGAGGAGAAGAAGAAATCGAAGAGTACGAGAGGTTTCACCACCTACGGTTGAGTTTAATCGGCCGGAGGCTGGCTGAAGGTTCATCAAGTCGACGTCACATTGATCGTGAAAGGGTCGAATGTAATCGCCGTCTTATGAGGGATTACTTCGATCCAAATCCAGTATACAATGCTCGCATATTTAGAAGGCGCTATCGGATGCAACCAAGATTATTCCATCGCATTATGGGCGACATTTTGAGGTTTGACCCCTCATTTGCTCTACGGCGTGATAGCTTGGGTCAATTATCATTATCTCCAGAGCAGAAGCTTACTGGTGCGATGCGCATGCTAGCATATGGTTCTCCAGCTGATCAACTTGACGAGTATGTTCGTATGGGTGAGAGCACTTTTATGGAGGTGTTCAGAAAGTTCTGCAACAACATTATCAACATGTATGGGGCCACATATCTTCGCGCACCTACTCCTGCCGATTTAAGGATCTTACTCAGTAAAGCCTCAAGACGTGGCTTTCCTGGAATGGTTGGATCAATTGACTGTATGCATTGGGAGTGGAGGAATTGTCCAAGTGGCTGGGCAGGACAATACACCGGCCACATGCATAGGCCAACAATCATTCTAGAGGCGGTGACCTCCTACAACACATGGATATGGCATGCTTTCTTTGGGTCTCCTGGATCGAACAACGATATAAATGTTCTGGGGATGTCTCCAGTGTTTGATCGTATTGTCAATGGAAGCGCTCCACATGTACGATTTGAGGTAAATGGCCATGCTTATGATCAATGCTATTATTTGGCCGACGGTATTTATCCCTCATGGTCGACTTTAGTGAAGACCTTCAGCAATCCAAGGTCAAACAAAGAGGCTTTGTTTGCTCAACGTCAAGAAGCACACCGCAAAGACGTAGAGCGGGCATTTGGAATCCTCCAATCAAGATGGGCAATTGTTCGTGGCCCTGCAAGAGCTTGGGATGTTGTCACACTAAACAATATAATGTTGACGTGCATTATATTACACAACATGATAATCGAGGATGAGCAAGTTGATTCTGATGATGAGATGGATGATGACCTTGATTATGAGGTCCATGAACAACCTCAACCAATCAACCGACACGTTCCAACTCTGGTTGATTATTTGGCTAGAAATAATAGGATTCGCTCCTCAACAACACATCATGCGCTTCGAAATGACTTGGTTGAGCATCTTTGGAATTTGCAGGGCAATAACTAGTATTGTTTAATTATGGATTGTATTGCTTGTTTGGTAGTTTGTATTTCAAGTTTCAGTGTGTGATTGTATTTCATGTTTCAATAAAGTGTGTTTTGTAGTTAGTCAAAAGATTCAATAACGACTAGTTTTTTTATTACACATGAAAATGCTCAAAGTTCAAATACAACACACAACACACCACATAAAGCAATAAAAGCCTCAATTAGTACACATAGGACCTTCTTCTAATCATAATCCATAACAGGAAAGTAATCACCTCCACTTTCATCTCCATCTCCTCCACCACTTGCATCTCCATCTCTGCCATCTCCTGGATTAGAGTTGGGATCATCTTGATCGTATCCATAGATGTCATTTTGTTTACTCCTCCAAAATTTCTTCTTTCTTGGTGTCATCTTTGACAAATCCTTCTCCAGAATATTCATATTTTGTTGAAGTATTGCGGCCTTGTTCCGCTTCCTGCTCCCTCACTTGCCTCTTGTATGCCCATTCCTCGGCTTCCCTCTCTAGTCTCCTCTCTTGAAGATTAATTTTTCTATTTTCGTACTCCATCCTCGACTTTTGCCTCTCTCTCATATCATTACCAAACTCTAGCAGTTGAGTAGTGTACATGTCTGACGATTCTGCAACTACCTTACCTTTCTTTTTTGCTGCCTTTTGTTTGTCGCGTCCTTCAGGGCGAGACAACACGAAAGGCGTAGCTCCCTCGTCTGGTATGTCGTCGAGGCCTTCCACAGGGGAGGATTGAGAACCAATACCTATGGGAGAACTTTGAGAACCTTGACCCATAGGTGGAATTGGACCGACAACCAATTGAGGGTCACAATACCACTTAGGGCAATTTCGAAGGATGACCCAACAATGCTCATGTTCAAAGGCTTTGTCCCCATTCTCTTCCTCATATATCTGTCTTGCTACAAATTACTATCAAAATTATTAATACACAAGTTAGATAAGTAAATATACATAAAAATAAGAAATACAAAAGTTAAAGTTTCCAAAACAATACCACATCAACTTGGTTGGTACCGCTCGTTTGACTCCTCTCCGCCCTCTGCAAAGCTCCCTTCCAAACTTTACACTTGTGACTGATAAGTCTCAGTCGGGATTCCATTGAATCCGTAGTACGAATTGTTGTAGGATAGCTTCTTCGAAATTCCCTCTCCACCCTTTCCCATAATCTCGTGCTCTTTTGATTGATGCCAACCGCAACATCTTCAGATATTGATATCCAAGATTTGCACAAGTTTACATCTTCATGAGCTTTCCAATTGGGTCCTCTCTTACTTGACATGTTTTTGTTTTGAGAGATGATAAATAGATGAGAATGAGAGAGATTGATTTGAGAATGAGTGCAGAAAAACTATGAGAAGTTACTCATTATATAGAGAAAAAAATATGACCGTTTTATGGCCGTTAAAATGTGTCCGTTGCAATGTGACCGTTTTATTGTCACTATATTACTTCTTTCAAACTAAAACGCAAACACACCCACACAAATAACCACCCAAACAAATTGAAATAAAAAGCAGCAGCAGTGGGGGCCCCGCGTGCAGGCGAGGACCAGGCGCGCCTCCGCAGGTGGTCCTCGCCTGCACGCGGGGGCCCCCTTCCAGCTGCTATTTTTGCCCCTTTTCCCCTTCGAGCTGCTACCTATCCACCCCAACACTCCCTTCTCCAAATTTGGAAGCTAAATTATTGATGGGTTGGAGATGAAAAATGGCAAAATGTTCACTTTCTCCAAATTTGCAAGCAAGGGTTGGAGTTAGTCTAAGAGAAGTTCTGTAGTAGCTTTGTAATAAATATCTACAAGTAGATCATTTTTGGCTTATTGGTTTTACAGTAGGCTAGTAGTTGCTTTGTTGATGTTTGGCTATTGTAAACCTTGTCGTTGATCGTATTTGATGAATAAGAAACCAACCATTCATTGAAAAAAAAAATTAACAAAAAACTTTGGGTTAATTGCATGGTTGGTCACTGAGATTACAAAAAAGGTTCAAGTTAGGTCACTCGAAATATTTAAATCCATTGGTGGTACTTCACTTTACAAAACCCGTTCATGTTTGGTCACTCTCCGTTAGCTGCCGTCCATCTCCGTTAAATGAGTCCGCTAAGTGATGACGTGGCGGACAAAATCGTCTAATCAGCACTATTTAACCTAAAAATAGTCTGACCCGACGTGTCACATCATTGAAACCGGCCAGCACATCTACACCTACCCAACCCTCTAACCAAACCATGGTAAGTTCGCCTATTGCCGTTCCTTGACTACCTAGTTGTGCTAGTTAAACATACCAACTAGCACAACTAGGTAGTCAAGGAACGGCAGATCAGAAAGACTATTTAGGAAAGTTCGCCGATTGCAATTGATGTAATCTAGAAGCATATTACAGTGCAATTGGTTGACTGCATATTTAGGAAACTATACGGACAACTATGCCAAAGCAACCTCCCCTCTGCCCGCCTATATAAAGCTCATGATCAAACTCTATCATTTCTCCACATTCCAAAAACTTGGCAACATTCCCCCCCAAAACGTTACTAAGAGAGCCCTAGCCAAACCAAAAAATAAAATAAAATGTTCCATCCTATGACATTATTCATGGCTCCCATTGTCCTCGTCACCCTGATCTCCATCTCCTACCACATCTCAAACGCTGCAGATTTCTGCGTGGCAGATTTCGATATCGGATTTCAGACCCCAAGTGGATACCCTTGCAAGAACTTGTCTTTGGTCACCGCTAGCGACTTTAAATACTCCGGCCTAGTCACCGGCGGCAGCACCGCGAACATGAACAAAGTAAGCATCATTCGTGCTTTCGTCCAACAGTTTCCGGGCCTGAATGGGCTAGGCATGGGTGCGGGCCAGCTGGACATCGAGCCCGGAGGTGCCATCTCGGCCCACACCCACTGGTACGCCTCGGAGATCCTCACTTCCATACGTAGCAAAAACGATGGCGGTTGATGTTTGTTGACCTGGAAGTGAACAAACGTAACCCTTGTGGTAAGATCATGATCTCTCCTCCAGGCTCGATGTCCAGCCGGCCGGCCGGCTCCCATGTTCAGCCCATTCAACCCCAGAAATTGTTGGACGAAAGCTCGAATGATGTTTTCTTTGTTCATGTTCACGGTGCAGCCGCCAGTGACTATGCCGGAGAACTTGAAGTCACTAGCGGTGACGAAAGACAGGTTATTGCATGGGTATCCAGAAGGAGTCTGGAATCCGATTTCGAGATCAGCCAAGCAGAAATCTGCGGAGTTTGAGGAGTAGTATGAGAGGGAGAGGATGATGAGGGCAATGAGAGTTATGAACAATTTATTAGGATAGGATAGCAAGTCTTTTTTTTTTTTTTTTTTTTTCGGGCTAAGGCTCTTAGTAACGTTTTTGGGGGGAAATGTTGCCAAGATTTTGAGATGAGGAGAAATGATGATTTTGATCATGAGCTTTATATAGGAGGGGAGGGGGGAGGTTGCTTTAGCAATTAGCATGCATAGCTGTCCGTCGTTTCCTAGAACGCATCGTTTGCAATCCCGGCCAAAAGTTTTGTTATGTCCGAAAACAAATTCCACCAGCAGCAATAGGCCGGCGAACTTTCCATAGTTCATGAATCTTGATCGCATAGTTGGCAATTTGACCACTACCGTTCCCCGCAAAACTTTCAACCTTAATTTCCATAGTTAAACCGGATGTCATCCAGTTATGTCTTCGGTTGTGGGTTTGTCCAAAACAATTTTTTGAAACCGAGTTAATTCAGTCCACTTTAATCGGATCGGACCGTTTCTCAACCCTACGATTTACGGAAAAGATTTAGTTTGGAGAAGATGTTGATTTCACAAACTGAGAGTTTAAAGCTATGTTTAAATACACCTATAGATGCATAGGTATCATCCAACCCACTCTCATACTTTACAAGATTCGATGCTCCATTAGTTTAGTGCTGTACCCGAACCGAATATATGTCGCCCTATATGACCACGTACAACCTTGCCTAGCTAGCTACAAATTAAACCAATCAATACATTCAAGCTGATAACTGAACAAGCGATCAATATCGGCGCCATGGCTCAGCTTCACTCTCTGGAAACCAAAGTCCCGATGAAATCCCCCGAGAAGCTAGCAGCTGTGTTCAGGGACAACGTCCACTCCCTGCCTCAGTTGGTTCCCGGGATCATCAAGACCGCCGAGATCATCGGAGGAGGCCGCCAAATGGCTCCTGGCTCCGTCTTCATCTCCCAATATTCCTTCCGTACGTAAGAGCTAGCTAGCCTAGCGTTTTATTAATTAATTTGCTGACGCGCGTTAGTACGATAAATGATATATGATCTATAATCGAATGAATCTCTTTCTTGAATGGAATGATCAGCTGGGAGTCCCTTGATGAGTGTGAAGATCAAGTGGGAAGCGGTGGACGAAGCAGAAGGGAAGTGGCTGACGTTGAGGGTGATAGACGGCGAGATGCTGGAGATGTACAAGAGCTACTGCGTCAGAGTCGAAATCGACCGCGATGCTGGACAGGTTGGGTGGCTGATTGAGTACGAGAAGGCAAACCCAAACGTTCCTCCTCCTCGCCAATATGCTGAACTGATCTATACCCAGCTCTGCAAAGCCTCCGACAATTAATTAGTGCATGCAGTTCAAGTGTTATACTTATATATATGTTATAGTACGTACGTAACCCTAGATGATGATGATCAACTTAATCCTCAGTTGGTTTCAAGGGGATTGAATAAGAGACCGTGGAGATATATATGGCAACGGGCTGCTTTCTCCCATGGCTTTTTTATGTGTTACTTTGGGATCTCTCTCGAATCTCAACTGGATACAGGTCTGTGACTGATAGATGTTTGTGTTAGTGTACCGTAGTAAACTGGTTATTGTTGCGCGCGGGACGGTTATTGTTACATCGAAAATATAAGTGAAGGAAATTTGTATATTACTGTCCATCAAATTCTTTCATACCAAATTTTTGACAAGGGTATACAAAAAGTAAATTTGGGTAGACTTTTTATACTCCAACAAAATTTATTCCTAAACATGCATGGTACTCAAATTCAATTAGATTAAATCGGTGATTCTGATTCGTCGAAAGACATCCAACATATCACTAGATGCATTATTTTAAAGTTTAGCGTTTAGGTAACTAGAAAACATATATGGTTTATTTATTAGGGTTGGAGGTATATTATCATGCTCCAAAAGTTTGGCTAATTCAAGCTTTAATGACTTTTCCTTACTAAGACTACGTAATATCCCTAATCTACTAGGGTTACGATAGAACTCCCATGCAAAGCAGTTAAAATCAAGATTTTACCTAAAATCGAAAACTGGGGTAAAATCAGAATCGTAGAATCGTAGAATTTTAAGTACCTTATATAAATTAACATATAATAATATTGATAAGGTAAATAATTAATAACACAAAGACTTATAACATTTAAAGTGATAATTTTCAAGATTAATGTTCCAAAATCATCATTTTAATTGTTATTTAATGGGTAACTCAAAATAATTTATGAGGAAGGGATAGAGCTCATGGGGTTTGGCTCTTGTTTTTCATGTTGTGTCTATGTAGTTTAACTCAAAGTAGTATTCCGACATCGTCTACTAAGCATGATTTAAAACTAAGAATAACTAAAATCCAATAATATAATTAATGACATTGGTTTGGTACAAATATATTCATTAATTAAATAATTTGTTAATAATGATGTTAATTCTTACGCACTTCCAATATTCTGACAATTGTTTTACTGATGAATTAAAGAAGGAGAAGGGAAAGGGGTTGACCGAACCCTAATTAGCTTTTCTTCTTCTTTTCAAATGTTCTTTTAATAGGAAAAATATATGAGAATATCCTCGTCATTGCCCTTTCCACCGAAACAGTTCTGCTTCTTTTGAATTGGCTCAAGCTCCCTATTTAGTTCACATAGGATCAAAATCCTGATTTTGGTACGATTCTACAATTTTAACGATTTTAATCTCGATTTTAAAGGTCCACCGTTTTATAGTAAAATCAGGATCGAAATCCCTAAGTAAAATCCTAAAATCTTACGATTTTACGATCAAAATCTCGATTTTGACTGCATTGCTCCCATGAATTATATATTTATTCACTAGCTCTAATTATATATATGTGCAAATGTAGTAATAATTAACTGGTGATGATTATTCATTGACGTGATTCACGTGTTTATATCATCAGTGTTTAATTACAAAGATAAGATATCATTTAATTTACAAGTCAATGTTTTTTTGAAGGTAGAATATTAATGAAGTGAAAGGTTTCATGAAGTAAATCTTGTGAAATTCTCCGGTAGAGGCAGAAAAGAAAGTCGGCCCGGCCCAGCCCGTTCATCTTTTGATGACAAGTGAAGTGGGCTTGGAGAATATAGGCCGATCGAGAGTTGCCGTCTCACTTGTCGACGGGCCGGCATCTGCTCTATATCTGCCTATCTCCGACGGTTTCCCTCCCCACAAAGCCTTACCGCTGTCACCCGCCGGCAATCTGAAAAACCGTTCCACCACATTTCCCGCCAATTTCTCTGGTCTCGGCAAATCCTTTCAATCAATGTCGTGCCACGACAATATATGCTTCATCCGCCCGATCTCGCTGCTCTACTCTCAATGCTGCTTTCCGTTTATCGGCGGAGGAATGAGAATGGTGGTTCGGATATCTTTTCCTTTCTCCCCTGCGTTCGAGATTTCTCCTTAGTTCATCGTGTTCGATCGTGTACCGAATTACAGGTGGATTGAACATAAGATATTTCAATAAAAAATTAAAAACTATAGTATAGTATCTTTCATATTCTCAACTATAACTAGGTATACTTACTTTTAGAGAGTAGATCAATTATGGACGTTTCTCTATAACTCAAAAGTTTTCTTTGTTCTGGTGAATTCGAATACCAAATTTTTAGTATTCTACTCTACATAGTCACCAATAACCTAGCTCTATTCAATGTACGACTCAAATTTCAACGAGAATTGGTCAAGGGATGACTGGTGCACTAGACATGCTAAGTATTCTCCTTGTGCCTTTCAATGTTGTCATGAATGATAGTGCAGCTAAGTCCAGGATGTTTTAACGACGATTTATCAACCGGTTAATCGATTTTAAAACATGCCTGACACGCACTCGCTTTTGGCGGTTGGTCCAGTAACCAGCTAGCTAGTAACTCTTGACCGGTTAGTCAATAACCCAATTAACCGGATAGCACTCGATAACGATATTTGACAGCTCATTTATATGTCTCGATTAACTGTAAACCGCTTACCGACCGATTTTCAGTACCCATGCTTCATGATCAGGTATAACCCGATTATATATATATGGTTGCTGAGTTCCTTTCATGTTTAATTTATTCAATGAAGCAACTCAACCCCCAATTTTCTTTCTATTTCCTATTAAGTTCCGTCTCTGTAATTAAGTCAACATACTACATTTCTGAAATATTCAAAGGTTATGCTATTTCTGAAATATAACAAGCTATTCATATCTCTTTGATAAAACTTTTCTGTAATATATATACTCATTTTTACTTTTTATTGTATAATTTTATCTTATAATAAATTAATAATTATGTTCAATCAGTTCATCCAAATAATAAAAGCAATTAGTTGGAAAAGACCCAAATACGATCTATTGGTAGGAAAAACAATCTGATGGTCCGTCTGGTAGTTAGGAAGACTCTTTCATTGTTTCCTACTAACTTGTTGGGGTTTGATTTTCTCTTTATAGGTGATAGTTGAGATGTGAACGTTTGTATTTTTTTTATAATGCAAGTGAGTTAATTGGAGGAAAAGAAAACTCAAATATGATCTAATATCACTCTTCCTGTCAAACGAAAGCCAATCACTCCAGAATTTGGCAGTTTTCATAATCAATTATACTTTACACTTATTAAGAATCACAGATTTCAACACGAGACAACTCGAGCAAAATTTGTAGTATAAGCAAAAGGAGCTTCTGATTGGAGTTTTTAGAGAAATATTTTACAAAAAAGTACAGAAGTGTTTGGCTAAAAAACTATTAGAAGTGGTTTTTTTATATAAGAGATTATGTAAAATGACTATAAAAGATTTATAAAATAAAATATGAAGAAAATTTCTAAGCAATAAAATGTAGTCACAATGGATCTAGTTAGATTTATTTTATATTAAATAATATAATTTTATATTTTATTTTATTTTTAAAAGGATATAAATGATGAAAAATATATTTTCTGAAATAAAATTTACATATAGTAAGAATAATCTTGTATTTTCAAAAGAGTTTTTCGCAGAAGTTACAAATCGGAGCTTTTGCTTTTATGTTATACAAAAATACTTTTCAACTTTTTAAAAGTCGAGTATTTAGAGATGTTTGGCTCTGATTTAGCTTTTAAAGTTGAAAAACACTTCTAAAATTTGAATCAAACACAGATATAAAACCCTAGTTATTTTGAGATATTCGGACTGATCAATCGATTTTATATTGTCAAAGAGCTAGGTATACTTATAGTGTTAGAGAGTAGAAGAGGACCATTTCTCCATAACTCAAAAAATTTCTTTGATTTGGTGAATTTGAATACCAAATTTTTAATATTCTACTCTATCTAGTCACCAATAAACCTACCTATATTCAATATACGACCCAAATTTCAAACAGAAGTGGTCAAACTAAATCGAACAATATTTTTTGAAACTTATTCCAAAGTGTTACCAAAGGAATCGACAACTCATTCCTGTTGACATTAATGCCACAACCAACACACGTTTACTAGACATCCAAATTCCAAACCACCACTTCTCTATCTATATAAACCCACATCAAATCAACCAAAACTCGACACATCCCAAATCAACTATACCTAATTAGCCCAAAAAGCTAGCACAACAACAAAACGATGTCGTCCCTTCAACAATTCCTCCTCCTCATTACCCTCCTCCCCTTCTTCTCCTCCACCTCCCTAGCCGTTGACTTCTGCGTGGCGGATCTCAACGGCTACCAGACACCCTCCGGCTACGTCTGCAAGAACCCGGCCAACGTCACCGCCGACGACTTTGTGTTCTCCGGCCTCGTCACTGGAGCAAACACCACCAACATCAACAAGGCCGCCGCCACCCCGGCCACCGTCCAGCAGTTCCCCGGTCTTAACGGGCTGAACCTGGCCGCCGCACGTGCCGACTTCGCTCCCGGCGGTGCCATCCCGCTCCACACGCACCCGTACTCGTCGGAGATGATCTACGTGGTGGAGGGCTCCGTCACCGCCGGGTTCGTCTCCGGCATAACGTCGAACAAGGTGTACGTCAAGAAACTGAAGAAGGGAGAGATCATGGTTTTCCCACAAGGGCTGGTGCATTTTCAGGTCAACACGGGGAGTGAAAACGCCGTCGTTTTTGCCACGTTTGGGAATGCTGACCCGGGGGTTCAAATGATCAACGCTGCGTTGTTTGGGAACGACTTCTCGTCGTTTCTTGTGGAGAAGACTACTAATATTGATCAGGCTGAAGTGAGGAAGTTGAAAAAACTTCTTGGTGGCTCTGGCTAAGGGATTTTGTTCGTCGATATCGCTTGCATGTGCATGTTTTTTTTCTTTTCTTTTTTTGTGTTAGTGCTGTTGCTTTTATCGGATTTGTAATAATAACTATATGCTTATTGCTGGAGCAGAATTATTTGTGAAATGCTAAGCGGAAAATATCTTTTACCGACTAATTATTTGGTTGAAAAAAAAAATTTCCTCAAAAACTCAAAGCCGAAAGTGTTAAGTTCCCTATTTACTAATATCGGTAAATTTCTTATCGATTTTGGTTCCGTCTCAATAAAGTGAAAATTGAATAGTCATCCACTTACAATGATTACGATATGGTTTTGGTTTATCGATTTTACGATCTAAACCAAACCCTTTAATTTACAATATGATTTAGTACTGAAAAGATGAATCCTTTAAACTTCTCATTGATTCAACTCCGGTTTAAACCGATGCCACCGGCTTAGAATAGTGTTAGTAACCATTGGTTACTGACCTATGAATAACTAAATCTGGACCTTTAGATCTAAGTGGGTCCAGAAAATCCAGATCTAAGGGTTATCAATTAAAGACATTTTATTTTCTCTAGTTTTCATAATTGGCTTTTATCTTCTTTGTTTTAACTCGGATTTCAATTTTTTTTGCACATATGGAACGAGTTCGTTGTGCTCTACAAAATGAGATCAATTTTCAAAATATTTCGAGAAACTTTTTTTTTACCAACTACATACCATATGGTAACTTTTTCGTTTTTAAGTCATTTTTGACAACGTTTGCTCATAAGGAACGAGTTCATCATGATCTATTGGATCTACAAATTTCAGGATGAAAAAATATTGAACCAAAAATTATCATACTTTACCACTATGGTATGTGGGTGGTAACTTGTGGTAAACAATGATGAAAGTCGTAAATGACAGTTAGTATACTCCTACTATCATGTATTCAACCTTCTTACCATATTGGTATGTTCATACCATCATGATACGCTTCCTTACCATATGGTATTAAATATGAGCATACCATATGGTAACGACTGGTAAAAAATTATTCAATTTTTTTGTACTAAAAATATATCTAAGTGGATATCATTTTAAAGAGCACATTCAATCTGATTTATCTGTGCAAAAAAAATTAAATTTCGACTTAAAACGAGAGAGAATCGTCCGTTAAAGATTAAAGGAGAAAGATAAAAGACTTTCCAAGAGAGAGGAGCTGCTGATGTCATGCGTATGTGGACAGGTTACTGATGGTTACTCACCATATGAGTTACTGACATGATTCGCTCCCGATATAACCAATGCCGAATAGGCAACCATAATTTAAGCTTTTAAAGAATACTCAATTCTCGTACGAGTGTCATGATTATGTCATATGTAGGTGTTCATGCTGTTTTTTATTTATTTATCAAGGTATGTTGCCATTTGATATTGTTTTCAGCATTGTTGGTGTCTAAGTTTCATTAAAGTTAACATACATGTAAAGTCAACCTAACGATGAATAAGTGGGCGAACTTCTTCACAATAATTGGTAATCGGAAATGATTTTGTTTTCATTGTTTATGAAAACAAATATATTCAATGATAATGATTCATAAATGAGCATGGGCATTGGGCATGAATAGTGTGGAAGTCAACTTGGCAAATAGCAACTAGCCAACTTTAAATAATGTGCCTTCATATTTGAGCTGGGCTTTGTCATGAATTCATATTTGAGCTTGGGCTTTGTCATGAAATCAACACATCATACCATATATATGGTACCAATATTGTAATTCAAGTTTATAGGTTTGTTTCCTGTCAGAATATCGTTATACTATATCATATCATATGGTACCAGCATACAATATATCATATCACACCACAACTTTAGTTTTCCCCATTATACCTCATCGTACCATATAGTATTAGTATTGTAATTTTATTTTATAGGTTTGTGCCTTGTTAGACAAAATTATAAATTGAAAATATAGCATACTATATGGTAGCGGCATACAATAAACAATAGTTTGAGCACTTCTACTATGCTATAAAGTATCGGTACTTTAATGTACAACTTAAAGTTGTACCATAACGTTAAATGTATAAGTTCAGGTTGTACCATAAAAGAATTTGTGCTCTTATGTTATGGTACAACTTTATAACTTATACTTGTACCATCAAATGAAAGTACAAGTTTAAGTTGTACCATAAAACAATTTGACAAAAGAGTATAGGTACAATCTGAAGTTGTACCATAACGTTAAAGGTACAACTTCAAGTTGTACCATAAAGGGAAAAACCTATATCACCAATACTATATAGCATTATAAAATTCCTCACAATAGTTTATGGGTAGATTAATTTCAATACATTGTATAGTATGATACCAACACATACCATATAAGACCAGTACCACATACCATACAATTCTGCTCCTTCGTGTTTACTTTAAAAAAAAGTACTGACCTAAATGCAGTCCGCGTGGATGATGGAATATGAAAATATTCACGATTATTGAGAATAAAGTTACTAATTTGATCCTCTCCACAGCCACCCGTCCTCGTCGGAGATGGTGTTCGTCGTGGAAGGGAGCGTCACCGTTGGGTTCATCTCCGGCTTGGACTCCAACATCATGTACGCCAACCAGCTGAGCAAAGGGCAGGTGATGGTTGTTCCACAAGGTTTTCTTCATTTCCAGCACAACAGCGGGAGTTCGTACGCCGTCCTCTTCGTCTCTTTTGCGAGCTCGGATCCTGGCATGCAGTTTGTTACCAGTGCGTTGTTTGGGAACCATTTCCCGTCTTTCCTCGTGGAGAAGACTACTGAGATTAGTCTGGTGGAAGTGCGGCAGCTCAAAGCTCGTCTTGGTGGCACTGGATGATATAGATTATGAATTGCAAAATTTACACACAGACAATTGAGACGAGGGGTTAAAAATTTACGCACAAAGAATTCAAAATGACGAGGGAGTTAACGGCTTATCAATTGCTATATTTTACCAATTTATTAGCCTTTGAAATTTATAGATTGAAAATCAATAATAATATTACTAGATTAAACGCTTGTGGTGAGATATTATTAAGGTAAATTTGACAGAGTGGTTATGACGTTAGATTTTAAATCCATAAATCATGATTCCAGTGTAGTAACACACGATATCCTTTTCCAGGATTTACTTGGCCGAGACCGGGAAGTTTCGTGTTATCACATTTACAGAGAGGGCAACATGTGTGTTTATTTCTTAGCTAGTCGGGGTCACTCCCTTCCCTTAGATTTTCGCCTTGTTCCGATGTAGAATCTTGTTTTGAACTATCTTATCATGTATGACTATCAAGAACTTTATGAGCCTTATCTTATTGTGAATGAAAACTGAGATGTGTCGCCTTCTGATTTGGGGGTTTTGAGTGGCTCGAGGTTTAAACAGGCTGGGATTAATGTTATCTGTCTCTGCTGCTGAGAGAGGGAAACTAGTGAAGTAGTCCGAGGTATATAGCAATAAAGGGTAGAGGATGTTTGGTAAAAGTGAGTAGTTGGGGATTTTTGGGGAAAAAATCCTAAAATACACATGTTTTTAAAAAGAAATTCAAATACACACATTATGAAAAAAATTCTCAATCTACGTATGTTTGGATATTCACCGCGGCAGAGAAAGGCGGTGATTGCATCACCGCAAAAGAGAAGGGCGGTGATTGCATCCCCGCTGTAGCTGTAGAGGAAGGCGGTGATTGCATCACCGCTGTAGAGAAAGACGGTGAAGGCCTGACCTGTGTCGAAAACTTTAAACGAACGTAACTTTGTGCTCGGTTATCCGATCATAGCGAAATTTTTTTTGATTCCGCATAATTTTTTGAGATCTTGCAAGTCTCAAACTGTCGTTGCCGGGTTGATCCCGCCTTCGTCCCGAAAAAAAGTCCTTCCCAAATGAGCCTTTTTCGATTTCGTCAAACTTTGAACGATCATAACTTTGTGATCCGCAATCCGAAAGTCATGAATTTTTTTTTATTTCACATAACTTTTTAAGGACTACAATTTTTAGTAAGAGAGAATTTTCAAAAAATGAATTATTTTTAGATATACAGGATTTTTGGAATAACTTTACCTTCCCTTTTCAGGAATCCAAGTACATTCCGAAATTATTTTTGGATATACGAGGGCCTTCCTCTACAGCGGTGATGCAATCACCGCCTTTCTTTGCCGTGGTGAATGCCCAAACATGTGTAAATTGGAAAAAAAATTCGTAACGTGTATATTTTGAGAATTTTTTTTAAAAACGTATGTATTTTGGGATTTTTTTCCTATTTTTAGTATGACAGAGAAGACCATTTGGGGTCTTGAATTGCCGAAAGGATTGCTATTATTGATGGAAGAAAAATCCAGCGAAGTAGCTTCCTGTTCTTTGCATTGAAGTCCTTTACTCCTAATTAGACCTGACTTGGCTTCTTCAGATGGTGAAACAAGGATAGACAAGCTATCTATAATCTTCTTCTTCTCCATTAGAGTAACTAAGGCCGCTGATGAGTAGGGGTGGCTATACGGTCCGGTCCGGTTAAATTGGCCCAAATTGATCTGGTTCAGTCCAGTCTTTTTGGAAATATAAGGACCAAAGATTGGATTGGATACAGTCCGGTTTTGATCCGGTCCGGTCTTGATCCGGTCCGGTCCCAATTGGGTCTTACTTTTATTTTGAGCTTGTGGGGATTTGAGTGGCCTAAGGCCTGAAAGGGGGAATAGGTTAGGGTGGTTACTCAATTTTGAGTAATCACGGTGGCTACCAACATCTATACCATTCATTATCTTTATTTTATTATAATTTTAAATTAATGATTAAGATTAGCTAAAGGTAATTTAGGAAATGAAAAACATACCACACCTGATTACTGTATATATTTTACTCAAAGCCTAATACCTAGCCGTCGTCTCCTCGCTCCTCTCCCTGTCGCTCCCGCTCTCGATCAACCTCCGCCTCGTCGGCTCTGCCTTCCCGGCCGAATCCGAGGCCATCCTCTCTTCCTTCTTCTCCTCCACCCACACCTCCGACCACTTCCACGTCATAACCCGCGATCCCGTCCCACCTCACAGCGACTCCCACCGCCTCGCCGTCCGCCACTCCCCTCACCTCGACGTCTCGCACTCCTCGCCTTCCCTCGCTTCCCGACTCTCCGACGCCATTAAATCCGGCTGCCAATCCTTCCGTAGTGTGTACTTTCCGCTTTGGATGGTTCTGTTCTCGGAGGCGTTTATGGGGCTCTTCGGCTACGGGCTTCAGTGGCTTGTGATTCGGAACGTCATCTCCCTTCCTTACATTCTGGTATGTTGTACGCCTTTTCCTCTTCTCCCTTTCTCTCTCGATTTTCCCCTCTTTCCGATTTGGAGTGTTTTCTTGATTTCAATTTTCCCGGCTGCCAAACAGTAGTCGGGCCGGTGGGAAGGATTGTTTGGTTAACGTCAAGGTGATTTCAATTTTCCCGGCTGCCAATCCTTCCGTAGTGATTTATTTTAAATGGTAGTCATTTTTTCCCGTAGTGGTAGTGTTATGGTTGTGTTGGTATTGTTTTTGTCGCATTGGTATTATTTTTGTCGCATTGGTATTGATTTTGTCGCATTGGTATTGATTTTGTTACATTGGTATTGATTTTGTCGCATTGGTAGTGATTAAATCTGCAATGGTATTGATGTTTTCTGAAATGGTAGTGTTTTTATTTCTTGAATGGTATTGATGTTTTGTACAATGGTAGTATTTTTTTAATGGATTGGTATTGCTTTATTGTTTTGTTGTTGCAGCAACGAAATCAAGGAAAGATTGAGAAAAAGAAGGAAGAGAGATCTGGCTGAAAAATTGTGGAAGTGAGAGAGAGAGAGAGAGAGAGAAAAATTGTATTTAATATATTTATGTAATTCCTAAAATGTAATTTATTAAAAAAGATCATTAATAAATTTTTTGTTATACCCAATTTGCCCTTAGTAACCACGGTGATTACTATAAAATAGTAATCACCGTAACCTGTCCCCTGAAAGGGTGAGGAGTTGGTTAAGTTTTGTACTAAGTGCAAAGGTTTGTGACCGTTTATGCAAATTACCCTTAAGTTTTGGGTGTTGAGCTCTCTTATTCGGTCGTTATCCAGTTTTCGATCCGGTCCCAAACGGTTTTTTTACCTCAAATCTAAGCCCAAAGATTGGATTGGATTGTTTACTATCCGGTTCCGGTCCGATCTAGGTCAGGGTTATACGGTCCGGTTTCGGGTAAAACCAAACAGTCCAGACCAAATAGCCAGCCTACTGATGAGGCTCCTTCTGCTAAGGATACATGAGGGAATTCAGATCTGGATTTTGAAAACAGAGAGATAAATGGAAGAGAGAGAGAGTCATTGGGTGTCCTTCCCGACCGTTGAATTGCTAATTTCTGTTGCCCAGCAACTATTTAATATTTACTAGATCGGGGCCCATCCGTTGGTCGGATAAATTACATAAATAATATAAAAGATAGTAGTATTTGTCCAAATCAAAATACGTTTTTAGTTGGTACCATGAAAGAATCTACACTATTTAATTACTAATAGTATAAATTGGGAGCACACATTATAAGTTTTCTTATATCCTGATCATTCATGGACAACAATCTTTAACAAAGGTTTTACAAACCTTATGCAGGGAACCAATTCCTAAGAAAATTAATAAGATTGCATTTCAAATTTACTACTTTTTGTAAAAAAATCACTGTAAATTATTTTCTAAAAATACTAAAGTTATTTTGGATATTTTGTTGCAATTGATTCATCATCAAAACTATTATTTTATCCAGGTGGCTTCATCTTCACTCATGAAACCTTTATATTCACCATCAATAGTCTTTTCCTTATCTCTTGCGTTTCATTGAATCTCAACCTTTAATTGTAAACTAGCTTTTTACCCGGCCCGTTGGCCGGAGAGATTTATTTTATAATTTATATTAATCAACTTATTTATATGTCTAAATCATTTTTTATTTTCTAAATATTTTATGTTCTTGATTCATAACAGAGTTTGTAGTATGTCTATATTGAAAATTCCCAATATTTAACACACCTACTTGTGATGCTTCGGTTTTCTAATCATCAATTATGTCACTGTCACGTCCCATTTAGAACTTATATCAAAATTTATCAACCAATCCACTAATGTTTAGCATATGCCAACCAGAACCACACACACACACATATATATAGTTCAAGCTAGCGTGCGATAGGAGTACGCTATACTCTTGCGTTCACACTACCATACGACCATTGAGTTTAGCTATTTAGACCCCGAACTAACCAAAGATTTTTGGGGCATGACACTATACCCTAACCTCTAATAGGCTAACTCCAGTCCCTAATTCTCTAACTTCTAATTTATGCACATACTTATCTATACCTATCTTCTATCGTATCTTGAGTAAAATTAAAAGTATAGTATACCTTGATATTTGGGGGGGGGGGGGTTTCTATGGTACCCCGGGTGAAATCTTGGGTACCGCATACCTTGAGTATGAAACGCTATCGAGATCTCGAATTAGCAGGATTTTTGGGCCGAATAATATACTCTAACCCTTAATGAGGGAATCCTATGTCCTAATTATCAAAATTATAAACTATAAACCTTAAGATGGTGCATTCAATTTTTGCCTATATTTGGACTAATCATAATCATCGATCATTGTTTTTAATTAAATTGATCTTAAGGTATAAGATTTAGAGAATTAAAACCTAGATTTTGATCTCTAAGGGTTATAGTATAGTATCATGTCCAAAAGATCATTCAATTCAAGGTTCTGGATAACGTTTTCATACTCAAGGTATGCGGTACTCTGAATTTCACCCTAGGTACTGTAGAACTCACCCTTTGATATTATATATATGTGTGTGTATATCTATAGTAGACTAAAAAATATGCAGATACTTCATCAGACATATATCCTATCTCGCCTAATACTCATATTAAAAGAATAAATGTGCTACTTGCCTATCCCCCACCCTCGGGTTAGAGATCTCGCTGTTACCCCCATAACGTCAGACAACCATTGGGGTTGTCTATCGTTCGATATGTAATATATAAAGAGGCAAATCCTAAGATTCTGCTATTTATTTCTTATCCTCTCCCACAACCCCCTTTATGGAGAATAAAAGGGTAGGGATGACAGGATCATAACTCGATATGGTTTTATTCTATTCATCGTATTGTTTTTTTTTTTTTTGGATTCTTTTCATTCTTATTTGGGGCACATTTCTATTAACCAATTGATAAACGGGAAGATCAAATTTACTACACTAACGTTGAATACTTTGATAGCAATGAACATCTATATCTGTTGTTTATAACATTAAAATAAAGAAAAACAAACCTCATAATTATTTCTATACAAAGTAAACATCGTCCTCTAAGTTAGTGGCGGAGCTAAAAATTTAAATGAGGGGGAAAAAATATACTTGAGGGATTTGAATAATGGTCATTGGTACATGAGGGGCTACTAGTCTATTAGTGAATTAACTAAGGAGTAGTAGATAGCTAGAGACGATCAATCAACAACAACAAGAAACAAACACATAGTGGTTCTGATAATTTGAATTGTTGGCAGATGTCTAATTATGGATCTCACATTATTTATAACACGTCCCTCAAACAAGTGAAAAAATATATGAAGTTGAAGTGTTAAACATCGGAGGTCACCGAATTTAAATACATACAATATCTTATATGGACTTGATAACTTGAGTCGCGTTAAGAGATATTCAATAATAAATCTTACAATATCGATAACATATCTTTAAAAAAAATAACTCATATGAAATCAATTGCTTATACAATGTCTTTTTTAACATTGAGAATCATCCGGATTTTGATACCTAAGTTCGAAACAAATACATCAGCTGCCGAACACCCAATCCAAGGTGCCTGTTTGTGATTTTTGGACGCATTATATTATTGTCAAACATTTGGAGTCTCTACGTAACATGCATTTACTAGTCAGTGGCGGATCTAGGGGTGGACATCCCGGACCACGGTCCAGCCCTTCTCTCGATCCGGAGTTAGTATAACCCTTATGAGTTTATTGATTTTAGTCATTCGGTTTAGTGTTATTTTATAATAAGATGAACCTATTCAAATCACAACTCTAAATTTAGCCTGAAAATTCTAGCTCCAATGATTCTCATCTAAAAAAACAAACAATGAAACCTAAAATTCTAAAATGTAAAAGACTAAAAGGAAAATGAGGTTTATTCCCTTAAGAAATTACTAGAGCAGCTGGTGAAAATAGAAATTGATACACAATATATATTGATTGGTGGATTGATTTGTCCAGTGTTGACATTGCGTGTTTCAACGACTACTATGGAGAGAACCTTTTCAACAAAGAAATAGGTGAAAAATTATTTGCGCAATAAAATGAGCGATGAATTTCTCGTCAATTGGTTAACTATTCTATGTTAAAGAGAGCATGCTATTGGTATGGATGTAAACTTCATTATTGATGAATTCACTATATTAAAATTTAAAAGATCGACGTGTACAAATGATATTCTAAAAAAACTATGATTTTTTTTACGATATATCATTTTCTAATGAAATGCGGCTCAATACTCTACTATGTCCTGGATCCGTCGTGGTTACTAGCTAACGGTGAACGGCTATAAGCGCATAATTAATCGTTCCTATATAAAGCAAACACCGTGATGATTCATATTTCATTGGAGTTTGCGATGTAAGAGTAAGACGATGTAACTTAGTCGCACTCATGAACCTGCTGGGATTGTTGCAGTTTGGGCCATTCTTCCCTATTGTATCCAATATTGTTGAAATAGAATTTCCCTTTGAATATCATTGTTGAAATTTCAGTTCCGCTTAGTGATATACTATAGTTTATGAGTTTTTTGAACATATCAGTTTCATTAAAAAAACATAGTTTATGAGTTGATATTTGGTTTTATTAGTAAAAAATTATAGGGTTGTCCATGTATAAGCAATGGACTTAATTTCTCGAATGAAGAAATATAAGAGGACAGAGAGATCATGGTACACGGGCTGAGCTAGGAACGGCTCTCGGTAATCCTACATTTCTCTCAAGAATTTCGAAAGTTACGTGTGTACATTCCACGACTTTTTTGAAATTCTAGTATAAACTCAAGCCAAACTGTATAATGGTTTACTGTGCACAAATCAGCAAAAAAATTAATTAGTTTAGTGGATACTGTATAGAAAGCTTATATGATTTTACAAATCGGGTATTTAATTAATACCCGGTGACAACCATTCTTTAATTAATTTTTAACTAGATCATTTCTATATTTTAATACCACTACAAGAAAAGTGAGATATAGCGGCAAAAGATGGCGGCTCTTTATAAATCTGCCTCTAAAACTTAATTTCTATCTAGCGACAATTAAATTATTTGTCCTTAAAAGTGGCGGCTCTTTATAAATTTGCTTCCATTTAATTTTTCCCCCATTTAAATATTATGATGTTGTTGTTTAGAGGCAGATAGTTTATCAGCAAATTCATTTGAATAAAACAGAATTAAGGACACAGGGAATAGCCGGCAAAAAAATAAACTAGAATTAAATGGCAAATACAATTATGGTGGAATAATACGAAAAACAAGAGGCTTTATGAACTATTTATGTTAAAATGCAGTATCAATTTAAAAGTGCAGTTATCATAATATTAAAAATAATTTTCTTTTTATTATTTTGATTAATTTTATCGCTTTTTTTATGGGGTAACCAAGTTAGAAATGTTAGCTTTTTTTTTTTTTTTGGCTTGTGCTGTGAAACATCACATTAATTAAGTAGGGGAGTGAAGAAGAAAGAATGGTCACTTAAGTTTGATTACGATAGATTAGATTAATTGCATAATCATGTTCCCTCAGTGGACAAGCTAGCATCCCTTTAAAATTAGGAGCTGGTGAAAAGATGTATATTGACCTCCCATCTCGCACCACCACAATGGGTAATTAGCTCGGCTGTTCCTTTCCTTTCTTTCTTGTGCTTTTTTTATGTACGTATAGATAGTCCTTTTCCAATGTATTTCTTACTTAAAAATCTCCATTGATCAGTCGCCCCGCAGTAGCAGCACCAAAGTTGCTTTTTGAAGAATGCAGTAAGGTCTTATTTTGAAACGTGGCAGCTGGTGGAAACGAAGCACAAATTTTGGGGTGAAGGCTCTTAATTATATATTGGGTAGTCGGCGACCTACAGCGAAGCCAGGATTTAGAATTAGAATTAAGTGGATGAAAATAATGAACTTCAATTGTTTTCTACCGACGGAATCTAAAATTTGGAGGGCTAATAGTCCCTATTTTATCATTTTCAAAAGTTTTCCTAAGATATGGGTACACATATTATAACCTTAGATATTAATAAAAATAATTGAAGGGGACTGTAATTAGGTATTACGATTTGATTCCTTAACCGAATCAAAAACAATTAGAAACCGAAACTCGAATTAGCCGGTTGTAACCCGAAACCGGTCAGAGCTTATCAATTTTTTTGTCAACAAAAATAGATAAGTTGTTAATGATTTCGGTCAGAATAAACAAAAAAAAACAAACCTTTAATTACATTAAGGCTTATCGGTTTATTAACAGTTTTTCGATTCTAATCAAAACGGTTAAGAGCTTTTCGACTTTTACCAAATAATAGACTAAACATGTAAAACCGTTTCGGTTACCGACACATAACCATAACTTGTAGCTATACTTGTCTGAACTACACGTAGCTCCATCACTAAACTAGATACATGTAATAAAGATGCGAAGAGTTGACGAGAGAACATAGGTATTGCCCTTTTAGCAAGCAATGTCCCAAAAAATAGACAGCCTTCTAGATCTTGCAAAAATGCCTTGAACTCTAAGGTAACTATAGACGTATTCCATCACTCCCTATATAACCCTTCTCAATCGATCAAATAAAGACACGCCCAAATAAAGACCAAAACTCACTCACCTTTCAAAGAGACCATCCAAAATACACTAGCTAGCTAGCTAGCTAAAAAAAAAAGTGGTCACAAAATGATGACCTCTCGCCGTCACTATATCTTCCCCACCCTCCTCCTCTCCACAATCCTCCTCTCCCCAACACACGCGGCGGATTTCTGCGTCGCCGATCTGACCACCCAAACCACATCCGGCTACACGTGCAAGAACCCGACCAACGTCACCGCCGACGACTTCGTGTTCACCGCCCTGGTCCACAGCGGCAACACCTCCAACACCAACAAGGCGTCCGCGGTCCCGGGCTTCGTCCAGCAGTTCCCGGGCCTGAACGGGCTGGGCCTGGCTGTAGCCCGGGCCGACATCGAGCCCGGTGGCGCGATCCCGCTCCACAGCCACCCGGCAGCCACGGAGATGATCTACGTGGCGGAAGGCTCCATCACGGCCGGGTTCATCTCCGGGGCTTCCAACGTGGTGTACGTTAGGAAGCTGAATAAGGGCGAAGTGATGGTTTTCCCGCGAGGGCTTTTCCACTTTCAGGTGAATACGGGGAAAGAGCACGCCGTGGGGATCGCGAGTTTTAGCGACGAGGAGCCCGGGGTTCAGCTGGTGAGCTTGGCGATCTTTGGCAACGATTTTCCGTCGTTTTTTGTGGAGAAGACGACGAATATTGATGAAGCTGAGGTGAAGAAGCTCAAAGTTCTTCTTGGCGGTTCTGGCTAAGCAAATTGCGACGTACACAGAAGAGGTTATTTGTCCAGTTCATTAATAAATATGCGGAGCGAAGATATTGACGTTTTTTTTTTTTTTTTCTTGATGGTTGTAGGTTAGTTGGTTGTTTTGAATAATCTTGGATATGAGTTATATATGATGTTCGAGAAGGGTGATTAACATGTTTGGAAAAATAATATACTATAGAGGGGATGTTTGTGGGAGGTACATAATTACTCGTACAAAGTATTTATTTATGTTGTTTCTTTATGGGGCCTTCAAATTATGGGGCCTCCGGATCTCTGTCGTATATATATGACTAATTATATTTATGTATTATTTGATTTCGATTATGAATTTAAAATGATAGAAAATTTATGAATTGTGTTTTGTTATGATTCTAAAACAATAATATCACAAAATTAAAGATCAAATGCCAAAAGAATGAACGGATCACATGAGGGGAAAACTTAATATTTGTGATATTTAAAATATTTTATGTATGATTTAGAGGTATAATTATTATTTGTGACATCAGTAGTAGTTTACTCAAATGTAGTATTTCATCGGGTAGTCAAAATCGAATACTCGATGCATTTATGACTGTTTTTATCTTGGTGTTGTGAATAGGTAGAAACTTATTTATTATAATGCATATAACTATACCTAAGCACATGATTGAGCTAGCATGAAACAGTTAGAGCATACCATGAAGACAATGTATATGGATCGACCATGTACAAACATAAATGCTTCATGGGTCGTACCATACTTAAACTTCAAGGGCTTGCGCACAAGTGCGAGCACCACACAGTCTATATTGGTGAACTCGTTTTTTATGGAAAAAATACGTCATTTGATAAAAATAAAACAAAATATTCTAAAAATAACATATAAAATTTGAATTAATGAGTAGTTTCTCACATCAACGTGTGACGGCTCATATTCTAAAAGGTTTATAAAATGCATTCATTGTTTATTTGAGACTCAAACATTTTTCAATATATACAACTAAAAATTCATTTATAAAATCGTTCTTGATTAACTTTATAATTGAAAAATCTTTTTTACTGCTTGCAGTAATAACAAACAACGTCAACTAAGTGTCAAATGTGTTGGTGCATGAAAATGGCACTAATCTATGGGCAATAATGAGCGCATGAGCCAGACACTAACTCATAAAACACAACAGTCCCTATTAGAGGTGGCAAATGGATTGGATTGGTGGATTGATGGATTGAAGTTGTACCATACCATTAAATGTATAAGTTCAGGTTGTATCATAAAGAAATTTGTATCATTATGTTATGGTACAACTTTACAACTTGAAGTTGTACCATCACATAAGAGTACAAGTTCAAGTTGTACCATAAGAGTACAACTTTAATGGATTGATGGATTGGATTGGTGGATTGGATTGAAATTGCCACCTCTAATCCCTATAATCATACAAATTGTGTTGCATATTGGCACTAACCTATTAGATGAGCAAATACAACCCTCATAATATTTCCATGGAAAGGCACTTTATAAATTATCAGACACACTGAATTAATATATTTTGTAATGAGATATTGAAGGAAACCAAACATATATCGACATAATTATGCTTTTTTACTCTATACTTTTGCCTCTTAAGAAAAAGTGGATTAGATGTATATTAATCACGTTGTCCTCCTAGTGGTTTGTCCTCTAGGGGTTGGAGGAGGACGCAAGCGGGCTACTCCGCAAATCTTAATTGGGTTTAGCTTGGACTCACGGATTTTGGCTACAACATTCTCGCTGATTGATCTCCATATTCAGCTCATCGACGCCTCGACTTGGTTCCCTGCGTCCTACTAGGCGGCCCAACCACCCAAAATTTCCTTTTTTTACTCGGGTCCAGTTCCTCTAAAATTGGCATGCCTTCTCAGTCATTTGTCCTCCAGGGGTCAGAGGAGGAGGACACGAACAGGCTACTCCGCAAATCTCTCTTAGGCTTAGAGCCGCCCTCATGGCTAGGGGCTTTGGTTGTAGCTTGCCTCTAACTCATATTCATCCCATTGATGTCTTGACTTGGTTGGTCCCTTGTGTCTAGATGACCCAATCCGACCACCTTCCACCGCAGCCTGCCAACCAACAACAAAAAAATTCCCAGATTGGACTCATTCTCACAACACACATGCATGCAAGTTCCTCCAACCTACAGGGTAACAAGTTCAAGCTTTGGTAATTAGAGAAGGATTGGGGCCTACTCGAGCTTGTTGTTTATGGTGACGAAGCATGTTCTCCTCCTTAATTAACCCATTAATCACTGGTCTTGTCAAAAGAATGAATGATATAAACAAGTGATTATGACAACAAGATAGAATTACGGCGTTGCATGCACCTTGCTAATCTGCTTCAATGCGGGGGATAATTAATTAGTTAGGTGGTTAATTTCTACCACATCGCTTAAATGGGATACTCATTTAATGTATTTACTAAATGTCATCGTTGTGTTGTATCGGCGGTGTGGTTGGCTCTCCCCCGGCCCGCAGTCATGCAGACACCAAAAAACGTGTGGTTGTTGTCGGCAACCATGTCCCCCCAACTCATTTTTGTTCTTGCTAAATTTTGAGATTATCCATTTTGTTTTCGATAAATTTTGAAATGATCCATTTTATTTAAGGAGGTGCCATAAAAAATCACATATATAGTCTCATTTTTCATATTCTAAAATTATATTAATCAAACAAACACACATATTTCCCGCTTAATGTACCACAAAATAATTATTTACAATTCCAGTTCACTTGATGCAAAGGCTTGTTAATAGTTTCGTTATGGAAAATGTTACTTGCGTATTGACTACTAGTAATAGCAATTAAATCTATTTTCAAAAACAAATACATTGATAGGAACTAAGTTTCTCTTCTAACTGTTGCTATTATATATAAAAAATTAATTATTTCCTCTAATAATACTATACTGTTATTCTTCTTGATAAGCTAGAATATATTAATGCAGAACTTAGAATATAAAATTAATTATACAATTCATTGTAGTTGTATGACAGAATATTTAACGATTGACATTGAAATTTGGAGTTTAACTTTCGTTATTAACATACTATTACTATCCAAATCTAAGGGTAACATGGAACCCTTTGTAAGTCTCTATCTCCACCCTTGGGTTTACTTGTACTTTTTCGTTTTTGGTTACATCTTGAACTAATCCATTTTTTGAAAACGATATTTTTGTAGCAATTCATTTTTAAAATTTAATTGACGAGTATACGGTTTACTCATGTTGTCATTATTATATTTAAGGGGTGTCATAAAAAATCACATATAAGGTATCATTTTTCATATTGTAAAATTATCCTAAAACCGCGTGAATCGACTAAATACCAAAATTTTACTCTTAACCTACTACCAAATAACCATTCACAATTTCAATTCACTTGATGTGAAGGCTTGTCAATCGTTTCAATGCAGAAAATGTTACTTGTGCATTGACTACTGGCAGTAACAATTAAATCTAGCTATTTTCACAAGCAAATGCGTTGATGGAAACTAATTTTCTCTTCTGCCTGTTGTTGTCATAAAAAAAAATAATGATTTCCTCTAATAATACCATACCTCTTATTCTTCTTGATAAGCTAGAATAGATTAATGTAGAACTTAGTAGATAATATTAATCATTAGTTATATGTTAGAAGATTTGACGGTTGACATTAAAGTTTATAGTTTAACTATCGTTATTTACATCTACACATAATATAATACACCGAAGGGAAAAACGGGAGCCCCATTTCAAATTTCCTGCAACGAGAGTGAAAGTAGGAAGGACATTTTGGTCTTCACAATTAATTTTTTTTTATTCATTAAAAAGACACGTACTGGGATTCGTACCATGTCCATTTTAAAGAAAAGCAAGGAACATAACCAATCACACTAAGTACATTTGTTGTATCCTTTTAAATCAAAAACATATAATAGCAGGGAGGAAAAGCCCCTTCCCCCCATTTCAAATTCCCTGCTCCATGAGCGTTTGTAGGAAGGGTAGAATAGGTAGTGTTAATTTTTTTCTCTTTCCTCTGTGGATCGGGCCAACTTACCGTACACATGCCGATTTAAACGGGTTCAGGAGTGTCAATTTTTTTCTTTAAGCCCTTGTATTTCTCCGTGGTGATAAAATATATATGAAAAGGCAAAAACAATACTTCTTTTTATGCTAAAAATAAAAAAAATTTAACAATAAACTAATGCATGGTATCTAAAGGGCTAACCGCTAACCATAAAATAAAAGAGTTGAATGGGCCTGACCTACACCGGATTTGGCCATCAAGTAAAACAAATGAACATCATTGGTTTGACATTCTAAAACAAGCTATTTTCTCTAGCATAATATATATTATTATATTATTTTATATTTTAGTGGCTAAAATATAATGTAGTTTAAAGTTATTCAATGGTTCAATCTCGACCAACCCAATTAGTCCAATTTTTATCATTTCAAATATATATTATATAATTATTTGATATCATAATGATAAAATTATAGTGTATTTTATAGGGAATCGTTTGGTATTTGTTAGTAAAAAACTAAACAGAAAGATCTATTTGGTTATTTTAAACATTAAAACGATCCTAAACATTTTCAGTTTCTTTTGAATTTCTATGGTTTTATTCCCGAATAAGTGATGTGCAAATGGCGAATTGCAGTCATCTATTTTCTTTCACTATTTTTTATTTTCAAATAGAAAGTTTAAAAGTAACGAATAATTAGGATTTTGCATGTGTCGGTCAAACAGGCTGAATTTTAAGTTTTGGCCCGTTTTGATCAAGTCTAATTTATAATCACATGGTTCCCTGATACCCGATAAAAATCTCAATCCAAACCAGTTTGGCAGGTGAGTCCGTGTTTACCACCATTCTCTAGGAATACGACAACGGCGGTTCCTATCCCAAATCGTGTTGTTCGTTCTTGATTTCCTTAGATTTTATCATGGCCTGACAAAAACCAGAAAGCACAATGACGACAAGATGAAAGTTTTATAAATCAAATTAATGGTGTTCTCTTTCTGATCTCATGTAATTATATAATGAAGTTGAAGTTTTTCGATGCTATTCAATTTCATTGGTATGTTTTTAATGGTCTAACTTCATGGTTGTACCAACTTTTGATGTACTGTTTATGTTCCAATATATTCACTTTGGTATGATTATTAGGGATATGCTAGGCGGTACTCACCATTAGACCAATTTAGCTTAATGGTTGAATCTACGGGTTATCCCAATAATTCAATATTCGGCTCAGCTCCTCCGACCAACGGGTCGGGTTACAAGCTAGTATACTATTACTATCCAAATATAAGGGGCCTCTAGCTCCGCCCTTGAGTTTACTACTTTAGTTGTATACATTTTTGTTTTAGGCAAATCTTCCGCTTCGGCCACCCATATCCCACGGATTTTCTTTGCCGCCCGGCAAAAACATTCCATTAAAGTCTCTAATCACCACACCAAATCTGGCACCTACCGCAGCCAGAACTCCAGCATCGCTACAAACCGATATCCTCCCCCGCTTTATTGTGGATGGTAAAGGGAGGAGGAGGAATTCACTGCTTTCTGAAGCCTGGTCTCAATATCTCGAGCTTGTGTTGCACGTCTGGTAAAAGAAATTGATCATGCCTTCAATGGGAGCGTTAAATGGGTAGGGCGATAAAATCAAAAGTCACACATCATTCATACTTGCAAAAAAAGAAGCTCCAATGTGGCAGTGGGCGTCAATGATTCCTTTTCAACATATAACTCGGCACCAATATATGATGACGGCTTCACCAACGCTCGACTTTCCTATGCATCCTTAAACAAAATGATGAATCTTCCAACAGATGCTTAAACACCATTACCAAAGTGGCAAAGTCCAGTCCAGCATGATTCTCTACTGCGGCTCGCTAGCTAGCTTAGCTATAACCTTCCATTTAGTTTCCTAGACTTCCAATATATTTTCATCCATAAGAATATTCAGCAAGGTTCAGTTCACGAAGAAGCAAAGATGCTTACCATCTTCTACGGCTTCGTGGTGTTTGCAGTATTGGCCGTCTCATTCTCGATTTTCGCTCTGGCAATGAAGGGATGCTGGTGGCGGCTTCCTCGTCCAGTAACGCCAGCTGGGTCCCAACCTAGAAGGCAGCATAGATTCCATCCTGTTCAGAGACCATTCGCAGTATTGACAATACAGTACAGTAAGGGAAAAGAGAATAATTTAGAAGAAGATTGTGAAGCAGAGTGTGCTGTGTGCTTGTCGAGTTTTGAGGAGAAGGAATACCTACAGCTGCTGCCGAACTGCAACCACTCTTTCCATTCACCTTGCATAGACATGTGGCTCTACTCCCATTCTCAGTGTCCCCTTTGTCGGGCTTCCATCGACCGGTTAGAGCCTGACAGTGAGTCAATCTCCACAGTAGGATTGCTAAATGGTGTCTAAACCTCAGGTACCTAAGTATTCTCAAACCATTTTCTTGTTCCTTTGTAGTATGCTAGTAAAGTATCACTCTTATTCAATAAAAGATCATAAAGCTTTGTAAATACACAGTAAGTGTCTTTTCGACAGCTTGATAGTGTCAAGACACTCAGACGTTGAAGTTCATCGGCATGGGTTCAAATATGTACAATCATTAACTGAGAAAGAGCCAAGAGTTTGCTGTGTAAAGATTTCCAGCACAAACATTACCATGGGTCTCACACATATAGTTACAAAGTCGTTTCGTTTGATTTTCTTCTCTGAGAATCACATCCTTCTCAAATTATCTAATCTTGCCTGCAAATCATCATCTAGTCCACCAATGTCTTCGTGATTCCCAGTTGATTCAGCTTGGGCAGCAACCTTGTTCTTTGCAGCTGGTGCAGAGACCGCAGATGAAGGTGCATTAACAAGCTGCACAGCATCGAGAAAGTTCAATCTTGTCATGATTTGATTCTAATGAGATAGGGGTATCGTCAAAGGAAAGTGTATATACCTCATTATTGATATCGATCCCAATCTCATCGAGCACTTGGTTCACAAGCTCGTCTGTTTCTTCCTCTTCTTCATCTCCATCAAGAGCATCATCAATGGCATCCCCCATCACCTCTGAAGTCATTTCCATCTTTTCGTTCTGCCTCTCAAACTCTTGCATTATTTTCTGAAGGGACGGCAAATTCATCTGCCTGTTCATCTGTCCCATTGCTTTCGTCACACCTTTCATAGCCTCCCCCATTGCTTGAGTCGATTTCAGGGTCTGTAAAACAAATTACACATTTCAGCAATTCACAGCAATCTTGATTAAACAATCCAGCAATATCAAGAAAACTCCAGGCATCAGATGAGCATTAAATGCTACTTTGGTATACTGCATCATATTAGTATCCCAATACTCAATCCACCCTGTCAATGTCCAATGACAAATCAATTGACATGCTGCATCTGTTGGGGAGCTGAGCAATGTTAAATTCAGTATACATGTAAGAAGAGAGAAAACAGAACAAACCTGTATTCTCAAAGAGACACCCTGGAGTTGCGACTTAAGCTTATAGAATTTTTCAATCTGATGCCTTGTTCTGATAAGATCCTTAGCCATTACTCTTACAGCTCCCTATAAAAATAAGCAGTCAGCAAAATTATATAGTCAAACATACAGACAATGAAGTACAAACATTGAACTGTTCAAGTTGCAAACAGATGCACATTTAGCTGAACAAAGAAAACAAACATTTCAAGAGGGCAAAGGAGTGAAGGTTCGTGTTAATGTTTATAAACGGTACTCCTATATTTCAAAGAAGCGAACTTTTAAGCATGGCATTCTAGTTAATCATAGAATGCCGCATCACAAATCATCAGATACAGAAAAAACCGAACTCTAAGTGAACCAGACGAGTTCCACAAGTCCACGAGAGTCTACTAACAAACAAATACGGAAGCCAAGAGCTTCATGTTATCCACTTCAAATCAATGAGCATCTACCATCCCTGATATTGAAACATTTTTTAAGTTTATCAAAACCAACTGCAGCAAGTATGATTTGAGCAAAATCCATAACTTGACCATCCGCCACTTTCAGCAACTCCACGACTACCAATTCAATCTCCAAAATCAACAATAGAAAAAAAGACCAATCTTAAGGCAAATCAATAATACCATCTGCCCATTTTTGGCATTCTTCTTAATCTCAGCAATCAGCTTCTTCTCCTGGGTCTGAAGACCTTGTCTTTCTCTCTCTATATCCCTTATTGACTTGTCGATCATCCTTTTGTTCTCTCTCAGCAGCTCTACACAAAACAAAACCCACAAAAATTTACAACCCTTAAGTTCTCAACTTTTTAACGATCAAATCAAAACCCTCCCGCCACAGAATTCAATCTGAGAGAGAGACGATCCTAAAGAAAGAGCTGCAAAGCTTACCAGCTGGAGTCTTTCTGTTCCCGAAGAGGAAACTCATCTTGCCGATCGAAGTCGCTAGCTACGACGCGTGATCTCCGATTAAAGACCTGTGCGATCTCTTTGCTTCGTTCCTCTGAGTGAAAGGCTTCTGCTTGCTTCCCGATTAATGGCGCGTTTGTTCCTTCTCCGGTACGGTGGTTGGAGAAGAAAGACAGCTGGTTTGGAGAGCAAGAGATTCCTTGGGCTGGCCTATTTCATTTGGGCTTCCTTAAGTTATTGCACGCTTCGAACAATTTTAGGCTTTTTCCCTTTTGTGGGAAATGATGATATATCTAAGCCCAGCCCAATTATACTGATGTTGTCTTGCCACTTGGCCCTTACTTTTTTTATTTTTTAAACATATGGATAGCATCTTAGCTTTCATTCAACATCAGACGAGGCTCGGAGATCCCCTGAGTCGGATTCGAGATAGGAACAGGATGGGTGTCCGGAGGCATACAATGGCCATAACTGGCTGAATTATCCGCGCACTTGTTGCCCCTTGCCCCTTACTCCTATCTCGACATTGGTAGTTTTAGTTTCTAATCGGATGACAATTTCGATCTCATCCATTTTACTCAATTTGCTTGACTTATTTTGGATTGGAAAATATCCAACTCATAGGCGAGGTGGGGCAAGTATGGGTAATCTCCTCGACCTGACAATGCCTTAACTCGCCCCATTCTTGACACGTTCTTGTTTAAATCACATGTAATTTTATTCAGATTACTTAGTATTTTGCTTTTTATTACCTCATAGTTTAGCTATAATAAAGTTGTAAATAGGTAAAATCTCAATTTCGTGAATAATTTAATTGCATTCATCATGTTATAGTTTGTGTTTTGATTTTTTAAATGCAAAAAATGAATATTTAAATATCTTTCGTTTAGATTCTGTACTCATATGGATCGATCTGCTTCAATCTATGCCCTGTAATAAATTACCCAATCAGAATCCCACCTACCACAGAACAGATATAAATATTGAGATACTCACCCGACTTATCCCATTATCCCATTATCATTGATAGAATTAATCCACAAACTTTTCTATTCCAAACAACAATATGTTATGGTATACATAGCGGGTTATGGCTCAATGGTAATACATTGACATTGTTTTTTTATTCTTACTCCGAACCTCAGTCACCATATTCTGCGGAATATCATTACAGTTGATCAAATTTTATGTCTTGAATCATCTGTCAATCATATTTTGAAATACTCGATCACAACAAATATTAATTATTTTCATCTTGATTAAATATCTCTCGTTCCAACGAGAAAGAAGAAAAAGTTGTTTGCTAAGGAGGTTGCAGCTAGGGATGGCAATTACCCATCCATGGGTAATTTTACCCAAATCCAAATAGATTCATTTAGTATGGGTAGGGTTTGGATGAAGTGTATATGGGTTTGGGTTTGGGTTAGGTATGGATATTGCTTTCATATCATTATGTAAATGGGTATGGGTTGGATATGGATATCCATTTACTTGAGGGTGTTTTAACTACACACACAAAAATTGGACCTATTTGTAAAACTCGAAAAGTTTAGGTACCAAAATGTAAGACCAAAAAAATTTAGGTACTAAAATGTAATTTTCCATCAATATTTTGAGAACTTATATGCAAAAAAATTAAATTTAGGTACTAAATATGCATATCTATTAAGTTCAGGAACCAAACTGTAATTTGCCTTTGGGCATGGGTACAAACCCAAATCCATGTGTTAAAAACCCAGCCCAACCCAAGTAAATGGGTATGGGTACAAATCCATCTAACTCTACCCATCTACCATTTATTTGGAATCCATACCCAACCCAATTGGGTTGGATAGTAAAATACCCATGGGTATGGGCAAAATTGCCATCCCTAGTTGCAGCAGATCTTCCTTCTCCATATCCGGAGTCTTCTTAGGGCTCGTTTGCTTGTTGGATTTGAAAATGAAGGTTTTGAGTTTTGAAAACTTTATGATGGATTTGTTGTATTTTGTATTTGAAAGATAACATTGTTTGTTTAGTTGAATTTTTTATCATGGATTTAGTTCATTTGATATTTGGTTGTCAAAAATTTATCTTCCATAATGTGGTATTTGCAAATACCAAATGAAATGTGGTATTTACAAATACGTGGGGTCCACGGATTTGCCTACCTTAAGTCCTTAACAAACAATGGGTTTGGACAAAAAAAACATGATAGTTTGTATTTGGAGACTAAATACAACATCCAAAGAGCCCTTTTATTATGCTATATAGCATTGGTGCTTTATGTACAACTTGAAGTTGTACCATACCATTAAATGTATAAGTTCAGGTTGTATCATAAAGAAATTTGTATCATTATGTTATGGTACAACTTTACAACTTGAAGTTGTACCATCACATAAGAGTACAAGTTCAAGTTGTACCATAAAAAAATTTGTACAAAAAATATAGGTACAACCCGAAGTTGTACCATAACGTTAAAGGTATAATTTCAAGTCATACCATAAAGACAAAAACCTATAACACCAATGCTATATAGCATTGTAAATTCCTCACGTCGAAATCCCATCAGCAAACAACACTTTAGTCTAATGATCTACTAGCCTTCTACCCGGCCGGTTGGCCGGAGAGATTTATTTTATAATTTATATGTTTGGATCTTCTAAATATTTTGTAACCGAGTTTGTAGTATGTTTATATTGAAATTTTCAATATTTAGCACACTCACTTGTGATGCTTCGGTTTACGAATCATAAATTATGCCGTTGTCACGTCTCATTTAGAACTTATGCCAAAATTTGTCAACCAAAACACTAATATTTAGCGTACGCCAACCTAAACCATACACACATATATATATAGTTCAACCTAGCGTGCGCCAGGAGTACGTTATACTCTTGCGTTCATACTACTATACGACCATTGAGTTTTACTATTTAGACCCGAATTAACCAGATTTTTTTGGGGCATTATACTATACCCTAACCTCTAATAGGTGAACTCTAGTCCCTAATTCTGTAACCTCTAATTTATGCACATACTTCGTAATACCTATCTTCTATCGTATCTTGAGTTAAATAAAAAGTATAGTATACCTTGATATTACATATACATGTGTATATATATATATATATATGTGTATGTATATTACACTAAAAATTATCTAGAGATCTCGCTTATACCCCCATAACGCCAGAGAACCATTGAGGTTGTCTATTGTTCGATATATAATATATAAAAAGGTAGGGATGACGGGATCATAGCTCGATATGGTTTTATTATGTTCATCTTATCAGAGGCTATGTTCTTTTTTGCTTTTTTTGGCTTCTTTTTCATTCTACTTTAGCACCTATGGTTGTGATCAGAGGTATTAAGCCCTCGAAAGGGATTGAGATTTTAGGTCCTTTGGAAATCCAATACACATTCATGATCCTCGAGTTTGGACGAACTCTCGACCAATGTTGTAAAAATTACGACTTTTTAGTGAGAAATTCTTAGTAAAGATACTTCATTATTGGATTTATTCATCCATATTGAAACTTGACACACACTGTAGCCCTCATGATGACTAAATTCTCTAATCTGGACTCAATTCCATTTTGGATTTTTTTTTTTTATCCAGACACTTAAATTTAGTATATTATACAATATGTATCCATTGTTAATTTAGTAAATTTGTTGACTTAGAATCTCAATCTAAGGCACTCACACACACTATCGAGGATTTTTGGTCTTAACATGGTCGTTGAATGTGTAATTTTCAAAGATTTTATCGCTTATATATTAATAATTGATAAACAGTGTCTCCAATACACACATATTTTAAGTGCATTTAAAATGTCTTATCATTTGAACAATATCAGTGTATTTCATTTGATTATTTGCATTAACTTATTATCTTATACAACATATATTAATTCGTTTTTCTCGAGTCTAGACGAACTGAAAACCAATTTTGAGGGTTGAGATTATGGGATAAAGATATTTGATTGCTGGATAAATATGTTTATCCCAATTGACGATCTTACCAAAAATTGCCAACCTTTATTTGGTAAATGCCTATGTTAGTAGTTGATGAAACGTGATGTTTATCGTAGATTCTGAACAAAGATTTTTCTAACCTTCACATCTGTTATTTTTCAAAGAATCTTGTGTCTCATCCTAGGGTATGAAGTCAAAGTTCGTCAACAATCATACTTAAGTCATTTTGAAAATTTTAATTTATAATCGTCGAAGATAACTCCAAGTCTGAAAGAAAATTTCTTAGCATACGACTTAGAACCTCAATAGAGCTTGCTCAATTGACATGATATAGAGCAAATATTATTAATGTGAACTTAGGTCACATTATCAAATTATTGCACATGCGATTCCTCTTCATTTGAGGAATTTAAGGTAGAACATGATCTGAATGAATAAGAATTTTTTTAAAATAAATAACTGTAACTACTCGATCAAGATTGTATTCTGACATTTTGCTAAATAATACTGTTTTATTTTATAGATATATATTGTACGAATTAGAGAGTGTTTCATTGCAACAAAATATAAAGTAATTTAGTTTATTTTTCAAAGGTAATTGAATGACAAATGTTTATTTTCTCTCTTTATATATATATTTTGGTTTAATCGATTAAAATATAATTGTTTATGTATATGTTTTTTCATCAAAATGTAACTTATCATTGAATTTTAGTAAAAATGAGTAGAAAATTTATTTCATAAGGTTTAATCAGATAATTTTTATTTAAATAAATGCGATATATGTCACTCTCTTTTTTTCTTATTTATATTTTCTTTATTTAAAAAATTTATTATTTATGTGTGTTTGGTTAAGTTTATCAACATGTAACTTATTATTAAAGGCAAAAAAGAATAAATGGATAAATGAAAAAGAATAATTGAATAAAAGAAATGGAAATATTAAATAAGAGAGAGGTAGCTCCATAAATACATTAATAACTAATTTTTTGTTTGTAAAAAAGTTGTCCAATTTGGCAAATTGTGGTTCCTCCAAGTGCTTATGTGGCAATAATTTTTTTTTGAATTGCCATAATATATAGTATAGAAGATAGATAGATAGATAGATGCATCCACGCAGATTAATTAATTAATTAATTAATTAGGTCATTTATGGTCCAACAAATTTTGCTGCCGTTGCCGTCCTTTTTGGAGTTCAGAATTGAGGTTGTTGTTAACATCGCATGTACTATGTTTGGGTCAGAAGGCAGCACCATATATGCTTGTAGAAGTCCCCATTTCCTATCCGAATCAAACAGAAAATATTTATACAAGACAAAGACTCGTACCTAAACTCAACCAGTACTTGAACCCAAGCTCAAATATCGTAGAAATATCTACATTATTTTTTATGGTATGGGTTACGGTATAAAACTCAAATGCTCAACACCTACAAAACATGTGTTTTACTATCCCTAATTGTACCAAAGTGGTATTATTCATATCAGGAGCAATAAGACACCGAATTTTGTACCCTATCCTTTCATTTTTTTGTTAAAATAAACAAATATTTTAACTACATTATTTGATACTCAGAAAACTATTTGTTATATTCATAAATATCAATTGCGAAATTTACAAACCCAAAATTTTGAAATTCATAATAGAGGGCAATTACTGCAGATAATATATAATAAATGAAAACCAGACAGGATTCTTAACTCTTTGAACTGTGAGGATGGATGAGATCCAACCACCAAACTATAAAGCTAGAGCCCCATAAATATATAGTTAGGTTCAAGGTTGGAGAATCTCGATTATTTATTAACACAAAAAGCAGACAGCATCATATGATTAGCAATACAGAATAAACCCAACAAACCCATTCATGCATAACTTTGAGGTAGTTAATATTCCATAGTTGGAACTTGGAAGGTTCAACCAACTAGCTAGATAGATGGAATGTACATACACCTTAATCTTTAATATTAATATCTTGGTTTGTTTTCAATCAGCTAAACTATGTTTTCCAAGGACCTTCACCTTCCTATCATATAATACGAAATTCTGTAATTGCTATACGGGTTCGAAATTATCAAAATCATATTAACTATAAAAAAAGAAGAAGCTGACCATTTACATACAACGAAACTATCTGAAAACTGAAAACTGACTTTAAAGACATGACAAATGCGCAACTCTCCCATAACCACCAAAGCAAGAGAATGTATAAAACATTGGTGTTCTATCATAAAGATGGACGGGATAGTCGTGTTGGGGCTATTCTTGAGGAAATAGTATGTATGTTGGCGCTGAATATTGATTTTCATGTTCGATTTGTAGGTCGGATTAGCAATAGGGTAGTCCATCTTATGGCTCGAAAGGTCATTTCTTTGCTTCTGACCTCATATTGTTCTTTTGATTTTTATTCCTGAATCGATTACAGAGTATAACCTCTGATCTTTCAGTTAACCAATATGATTATCTCTTCTTAAAAAAAATCATAAAGATTAATCTCGCATTGTTGTAATCATCATGAGCTGGCCTATTGCATGCCTATAAGAAACAAAAACAAAAAAAATAGTACAAACTAGAGCATATAGTAGCTAGTTAAGGCCCCCCACTTCTTTGAAACACCAAACCTAGGGGTAATTTGATTCCCATGGAAATGAATGGTAAAGAAAAAAAAGAATCTTGTGGCTTTCTCTTGCTCATCTCCCACTAGGAGGTTTTTCTCACATCAACATCAACACTGTGAAATGGAATTTTGAGAACCCATTTCAGAAACCCTAAAATGTTAGGTAGTGGAAGGTAGGCAAGGGGCGCCGTATGGTAGATAATAGCTCCCCGGCTAATTAACTATAGCTATTGACTTGATTATTGTTTGTGGCGCGCTTGATCGTTGGTGGACTTTTCGTATTATTCAAGTTTGTTCCTGTATATATGTCCAATACAAGTTGGTCGATATGTATATAAAATGGCAGTCTAGTCTCTTTCATGATGATTGACTCTTGTAATTGAACCCAACAATTTGATACTTCATTTGTCCATTGATCCAAGTGCATTGTATGCCCAAGAACTTTGACATTAGTTCCAATTTATGTTTGGAACAATGTAGTTTCAATGAAACATATCATATTTGGTTTAATTTGTCCCATAGCATGCATATGTGCATGAAGGAATATATGTATTAGATAGTAAGTATTGCGCCTTTAAATGTCTCATAAGGTGACCACCTCTTATAACCCTACAATATCTACATTGTGAAAAATTAACCATAATATCTTATCAATTACCACACAAAAAATTATATCCAACCTTTGCATGAATGTTCGTTGTACGAAATCATAGACTATCATGTTTTCGTATGGTGTAGTGAAAATTAAATAGTTGACTAGCTTCATCGCTTATTGTATTTAAATAAACCATCATCCAGAATAATCATTTGACGGTATACAACATTTAGAGTAGATTTTGCTCTTATTATCTATTACGTCATAACCAAGCTCTTTTTTCCATATGTGCCTCATCAACTCCCTACACTATAATATTAGTGTAACTATAGTTTATGTTACAATAAGGGAGGTAATATATAATACATAAACACAAAAGGAAAGCTAAGCATGTGCAGAAACAAGAAAGGAATATGTATGGTTTGTTGGGATGCATATCTTAATATAAAGCTTAGAATTGATGAAGGACTGCC